CCTAAAAGAACCTATGTATCCCCTCAGTATTGAATGACACTGTTGTGTGCCCATACTTGTTTTCCAGGCCATCCACATAGATCTTCCTCCGGCGACGACTATCCTGAGCTGACTGCTTGTTCCGGATCTTACGGCGCACTTTCCTCAGAATTCGCTCCTCAGCCTGCAAAAGGGTAATTTCTTGTTAAGAGCAACCCCAGGGTACAGGCAATCCCACTCACCCAAACCCCACACACAACTCAGGGCCCAGCCCGAGTGCTTTGTGTCTTCTGTCCCTCCCACACTGTGGAATGAACTGCAAGGCAAACTCTGGCCTGCTGATGTGGCCAGCAGCTTCCAAGGTGTAGCAAAAGCGAGGCAGACCAAAGGGAAATGAAAAACATGTGTCTCACAAGCCACTAGTCAGCAAAAAAACAGGGTTGGAGCTATCTGTGGCATATCTGCCTCCTGCAAGCAGTCATGAGTGTGGAGACTCACATCAGCCAGGTCTCATTGGTCTTTTATCCACCTGACTAGGAAAGCAGAAGTTGCTGTGCACATGGACACACCCTGACTCGAAAGGATGACAAGGACACCAAACCCTGATGGCACATTACCATGAACACAGCACTTGGACACCACTATTCTCATCAAGGCACTGCCCTGTGTTCTCAAATCCCTGCACTAGCTGACATACTCAAGTGGTCCAAGTCTGTTTGGCTCTAGCAAGGACTCACTTTGGTCAGTGGCAGACACGTTGGTAACGTAACACCTTCTTTCTCCAGAAGCTGCTTTTCCTCCTCCGTCAGGACCAGCTCTGGGAAATCAGACTAGAAAACAGAAAAAATACACATGCTGAGAATGCAAAGTTCAGGGCAGGGAGGGGATGCAGTAACCACACAGAATCGGGATCATCTCTCCCAAAGCAGCATCGTGCTTTCCCTCAGAGATATCCCTCACAGGAGCCAAGCCACAAGAGGAGGGATGTGAGCAAAAGCAGCAGCAGGGGTCCACAGGCACGGCAGTCAGTACCTGCACAATGGTTCCAGGCACAAGCTGGGATTCAGAATCCACATCAACAGCAATGGGGAAACTGGAGCTCTGTTCCAGTGCCTTGCTTGGGCCTTCCAAACCCACCCATGTCCCTGGGGAAGGAAAGGAGAGTCAGGCACTTGGACTTAGTGAGGCAGTACCTGATTAACCACTTTGAGTAGCACAAAACCACAATTTTACAGCAGTAGAAAGCCCCTGAACTTGGCTCTCTCCATCACTGCCTGGTACCCACCCAAAAATCCCTCTGTGTGGGACTGGTTTTTATCTGTATTCAAGACAAAAAGAGACTACACACATCACTCACCCAGCTCAATAGTAACATCTCCTTCTGCCATGTCAGACCTCACGCTTTCCAGCACAGGCCAGTGGAGGGAATAGTTGTGATCAACCAGCACAATGTCTCTGCTGGCAAAACTGCTGCCAGGGCAAGGGGACAGATGCTGATCCTCAGAAATGCTGCTGTCACTGCTGGCAGGCAAATAATCGAGCATGCCTGGTTCATCTTCTAAGGGGCTCAGCAGTGAGCTGATGAAGTCATCCACCTCCTTGTCCAGGAGCTGCAGAGGAACAGCTTTTACTCAGCAGGGATACAAACCTCCTGAATCTCAACCCAGCAGCAATTTCTCCCAGACAACTCACCTCAGGTGTTGGCAGGACCCAGTCTTCCATCAAACCATTCTGCTCCTCTGGGATTTCAGGGCAGGGAGCATCATCCTTCAGAAGAAAGTCAAGCAGATCCACGTCTGCCAAGGCATCCAGTCCCTCTGGGCATGACATCTGAGCAGGACACTCGATGTGAGCAGAGGTACAAGGGGAGACACCAGCACTGCTTCGATATGTCCCTCAGACCCTACAGAAAAAGTCTCCCCATGCTGTCAGCAGCTGTCAGGGCCCTGCAGTGATGACCAGTCCCCAAGTACTTCCTCAGCAAGGCTCTTATGGCAGTACTGGTGGTCCCTACATGCCAGTTTCCCCACTGGGCTGCTGGGACCAAGCCACAGGAGCCAGAACACAAAAGCCAGCACACAAAAAGCTGCAGGAAGGAGATGAAAAGCAAAACAGCCCCAAACTTTCTGGCATGGAAAGCATGCAAGATTCTGCTAATCCACAGGACCCCAAAAGTGCCAAACCCCCACTGTGCTGCCAACAGGGACAGCCTCCTGTCACAGGAAAATTATTAAGAGGGGTTAACTGTTGAGGGGTTAACTAAAAGGATTTTGCTAATAATTAGATGATAATCAAATTCTAAATAATCAGTGACTGAAGAGAAATTAAACAGTAATCAGATGGTAATGAAGCGATCATTGAAGGGCAATTAGTGAGTGATGTAACAATAACCTGAATGATGATTTAGTAATTCAGACAGCTGTCAAACACTCCACTACTTAACGCGCTTGTAATAATCAAGCTACAGTTGGATATATATAAAACATCACTAACACACAATGCACTTTTAGGCTGAAAGTAAAATGCTCCTTACCTTGCTGAAGAGATCAGACACCGGTAAAGGGTCTCTCAGCCCTGAGGAGTAATCTGGAGAGGTGTCCCTGCTCACAGGGAGATCACCAGCAGAGCTCAGGGGGCTCAGGGAGCCACAGGAGCTGACAGGACAGAGCGATGGACTTGAAGTCAAACCCTGCCTCGGTGTCTGTGCATGTGTGGGGCTGCAGCAGCTTTAGCTCTGTCTGGTCCCAGCTCAGGCTGCTGCTGTTATCTCTGGATCAGACATGGCCCAGGTACCTCGGTCCCTGAGAAGATGCGGCCCGGCATGGCTGTCACAGAGGGCATGGCTGGGCCAGGATCAGCTGGGCTGGGATCAGCCCGGCCGGCTCGCCTGAGCCAAAGCTCCACTCATGCCATCGGAGCGTGGGCATCCATTGCGTGACTCCATTAGCATTGCTGAGCCTTCACATCCAGCTGTCAGGCGTCACAGTCTGAAAAGCAAAGAGCAAAACCAGAAAAAAAATATAATACCGCCAAAAACACCTGGAACCCCACCCAAAACCAGAAAGCCAGGGCAGTCCCCAGCCACAGGGCTGCTGCGATAGCTGCCTGGGAGCAGGGCTGCCAGCAGAAAAGTGGAGTAGCAAAAGGAAGGGGAGCTGGGCAGAGCCAGGGATGACAATGCCAGGGCCCACGGCTTCCAAAGGCTCGGAGTTTCTCCGCAGAAGGCGTGCACCAGGCAGGCAGCACGGGCAGGACAACAAGGGGAGACAGAAGCAGGTTGCATCAGAAGGGAGGCTGAGCGGAGCGTAGATGCCTATCCCCTTTCCAGGAGACCCATCCCAGGGAAGCCAAGACAGCTTCTCACAGCCCCGGTGGTGGGGCGAGACCCCCGACCCCGGGAGCCCCGATCCGCTATCCCACAGCTCCCTTCAGCCCCAGAATCCCTGACCCCCGGAGCCCAAACCCCTGAGCCCCGGACCCTGGAACCCCTGACCATCAGACTAGACCCCAGATCCCCGCATACCACATCCCCCGATCTGGGACCACGGGCCCCTGACCTCCAGATCCCGGACTTCCTGACCATCCCCCGGAGCCGTGACCCCCAGACCGCCGCGCCCCCGGTCCCTTTCCCGCAGAGCTCCCGGCCTCGCCGTCTGCCGGTGCCGATCCCGATTGCGATCCCGATGGCGATCTCAACCCCCCCGCCCCTCACCCCGCCGCCGCCGCTTCCAACGCACCGGTGGTGACGTCACCCCCATCCCGGCGGGAAGCGCGCGTGCGCCGGCGCCGTCCAGCCGCTCCAACGTCGCGCGCGCCCATTGGCCGCGTGGGGATAGGGATGGGGATGGGAAGGGGAGCGCGTGGGCGGCGCGCGTGCGGCGGGAGCGCGGGGCGGGTGTGGCCGGGGGCGGCGGTCAGGGCCCGGGGCGGGCGGGTGCGCCCTGGGGGTGTCCCCGCACCCTCCGGGTGCGGTGTGAGCAGCGGTGCGAGCTAGTGGGTGGAGCACAGCCCTGGGGGGCGCGGGCGCGGAGCCGTGCCGGAGCCCCGGGGCGATCCGCGCGGTTCCCGAGCGGCGCCGGCCACGGGAGCGGGATGCGGGAGCGGGGTGCGGGAGCGCGGCCCCCGGGGCTCGGCTCGGGGCCGCGCCGGCCGGCCCCGGGGGCGCGCCGCGCCCCGCGCATGCGCGGCAGGGGGGCGGCGCGGCGGGAAGCGGGTGGGGCCGCCCCGCTCCGCTCCCTCAGGCTCGGCGGGGCTGCCGCGCTGCTCCTGCCCGCTCACAGGTACCGGGGACGGGGACACGCGGCGTCCCGCTCACCGGGAGGGGGTGGCCGCCGAGCGGGGCCCCGCGCGCCGGCAGTGCCCCGGCTCACGGGGGCTGCCGGAAATGGATGGCCCGGGGACCCTCTCCCCGCACCCCGCCCGGTGAGCGGCGGGGCGGGGCGGGGGATTGCAGGGAGGGAGCGCCTTCCCGGTTGCCGGGACCTCGCTGCTTCAGCGTGGGCTCGTCCCCGGCGCTGCCGTGACTCGGGGACTTCCGGGACTCATTCGGGCTTTGGGGCGTGCCCCCATCGCCCCCGGGGCGGGCGGCTCCGCGCACCGGCGGCGCCGGAGGCCGTGGGGCGGCACGGGCGGGCGCGGCCGCGGCATTCCTGGCCTTGCCCTTGCCCTGCCCCGCCGGGGCAAGGCCCGCAGTCCACGCTGGCCAGCTCCGGGCCAGCGTCCCAGCCTCGGGGGTTCTCGAGGGCCGAGCGGCACCAGCGTGGCCGCGGACACCGGCCCGAGGACCGTGGGGCGAGCTCTGGGGCGGGCCGGGCACGGCTGTGCCGAGCCGCCCTGCCCACCCTGCCGGGCCGCGAGGGAGGGAAGGGGGGTGGGAAGGGTGACTGCGTCCCGCTGCGTGGTTTTGGGTGGGGACGCGAGGGGACACGCTCCCCGTGGCCGCACCGAAGCCAGGGAGGTCGCTGCAGCAGCTCCCACCGGGACGGACAGCTGGACGGGGATCTCCGGATGGGGCGCTGGGGTGGGAGTCCTGCAGGGCAGGAGGGACTGGTCCCCATCGGGGAAGGGCCTGCGTCCCCACCGTGTCCCGGCTGGAGCGGCTAACCAGGCGAGGGAAACCCTGCCCCATCCTCTGTCTGTTCCCCGCCGGATCCTGCCCGCGCCCCTGCAAGCTCCCCGTCCCTTTGAATCTGCCGGCAGGATGTCTACATGCTTCTGCCGTGCCTTCATCGCTGGCTGTTAGATCCATATTTGGTAGCAATAATTGTTTACTCCCTTCTCCTCTCTCCCGGAGCCTCGCTGCTGAGAAGGGGAGGGGACATATTTTGGGGATTTTTATCTTTGCCAGAACCTGTGAGTTGCTCAGTAAAGGGTTTGAATGCTACATCTCCCCCCACAAAACGTGGGGTGAAACCCCCGCAAGTGCTAAATGAACCAGTCATGGTGCATGAGCAGCACCAGCCAAGCATTCAACTTGTTGAAGAGCAGCAGCAGGAATTTGGTGCTTCCCGAAGTGACATGTCCCAGCAGATTTAGGGAAGGGAGTGAAAAAGCTGAGGAAGAGACAACAGGGACCTGTGGGGCGCCCTCATTTCCAGAAGTGAGCTTTGCTGGCTACTGGGTGGAAAAGACCCCAAAACTCAGCTATGTTCTCTTGCTTTCCCCTTTCTGCCTGTCCAGCAGTGTAGTGCTGGGCAAGTCAGTTGCCCTGGGAAGCATATATGCCTGAATCAGGGTACCTAGTGGTTTCCACGGATTGCGAGAGCACCCAGTACACCCCAGAGCCTGGTTCTGGGGTCCTGTGCCAGAGGCCCAGCTCACTAAGAACTCAGCAGAGGCTGTGGCCTTGTTCCCATGCCTGCTTGGAAGTGGGCAGTCTGGAGGTGCCACAGTTTGTGCTCCATTGCTCTGCAGGGCAGGGGATGCCCAGCAGAAGCAGACAGGCGTGGGGTACGTGTGAAATGTGGGCAGTTAAAGGCCAGAGCTGGTTCAGCTCATTGCACTTGAGCAGGCAGGAGGCTGCGCCTGTGATCCCCCAGCCTGGCTGCCTGTCCCCTGCCCATTTCCCACGCAGAGCAGGGCTGCTTCCCTGTGAGGGTGAGAGGATGCTCCTATCCCAGCCATGGGTGACAGCTGAGTGGTCGCAGGGGTGCTGTGTCTGGCCTTGCCAGTCACTCATGCTCCCCAGGAGCAAGCTTGGCCTCAGCAAAAGAGAAGAAACTGCTTTCCCATCTGACATGTACGCGCAGCTGGGAAAGAGGAACCAGGCAGAGCATGTGGCACCATCACCAGCTGGGGCTGCTGGCAGGTTCCCACGTCTGCCCCCAGTGCCTTCTGTGTCCCATACTGGACAACCCAGCCAGAACCTGGTCCAGCTTCTTACCAGGTTAATTTTGACCCTGTTGATTGTGCAGATGTCAGCATACCAGCCAACCCACTGCTGAGAGGCGTTGCAGTTTGGTGGCTTGCTACCCGCCTGGCTGTGCCAGTGGCCACAGTGATGGGGCCCTGTGTCTGCGGAAAACCCTGGCACTGTAGTGGTTTGCAGCTGATAAAGCTTCCTGCAGCCATTTCCCAGTCCAGGGGTGGTCAGGAGTGGGGGCTTTCCCAGGTGAAATTAGGTATTGCTGTAAAACCCAAAAAAAAACCAAAAAACCCAAAAACAAACAAACAAAAAACCAACAACAAAAACAAAACAAACAAAAAAAACCCCCACAAAAAACCAAAGGAAAAACCTAAAACCTCATCTGAAGTATCCCTTAGAAAGGGCATATTAAAAATAGCAAAATGGTTGCATTTGAAGCTTCTTGAGCTTGTTCTAGAAACTCACCATGAGCGTTCCAGCAGGCTGCAGCTGAATTTTGGTCGATTTTTTTTTTTTGGTCATTTTAAGACACAAACCCTCCTCTGTAGCCGTTACTGCAGCACTGAACTGGGCCGACACAAATATAGCAGTTTCGTCACGTGACGGAAAACTCGCTGTCAGTGGTCCCAGCAGAGACGCGGTGGCTCCTCGGGCCAGCACGGCGCTGTTTGTGCTGACCCTGCCTGTGCTGACCCTGTCTTTGCACCTTCACCACTACCCTGGTTTTGCTCACCTAGTGTGGGGTGAGATCGGAGGAAGCTGCAGCAGCTCCTCGGGGAAGTGGTGGGACCCCACCAAGGCCTCCCTCCCACCCCCTCATCGTTTTGGGATCAGTTCAGGAACGTGCCCGTGGTTCAAAGGGTTGCACTCAGCTTGGTGTAAAATGCAGAAGTGTGTTACTCTGGCTGCTCTGGTGCCCTTTGTGTAGTGACAGCTGATTGCGAACGGGTGTGCTTGCTCTGGAGGTGAGACAGCACGGAAATCTGGTGTGTATTCATTGAGACTTGGTCTATTTGGGGTTTTTTGGTTTTTTACTTTCCAGTGGGACAGCTTGAATTTCACTGTCCTTTTCCTTTACTTTTCTGGTTTGCGCTGCCAGGCTCCCACGCTGTCTCATCTGTTATGTCTAGTCCAGCTTTTCCTTCCCCACACGGTTCCAGTCAGGGAGAGGTCTGCAGGCGTTGGGCCCTGCATTGGTGCCCTCGGAGAAGGCAGAGGATTTGCAAACCTCATGTGATTAATTGTCACGTTTGCTTGCAAATCTCCCCAGGGTTTGAGGAGGTGTCCTTAATGCAGCAGGGAGCATTTTGGCTTTAGACGCTGCTGTCAGCAAAGTTCAGCTGCTGGAGCGTGAACTTTTCCCGCAGAATATGGGAATTAAAGTGAACCATTTACCTTTCCTCTGAGGTCTTCCCTGATGTCAGCATCTTCCCTGCCCACGTCTGCTGTTTTTTTAAGAGTTTGGGAGTGGGAAGGCTCGAGCAGTCACCTTCCCCATCTTCCTGGGGGGTCTTGGAAAGCATGATGGCCCTTGTGAAGGGTGTGCTAAGGGGTACCTGGGGTGCAGTGCTGGATTTTGGGTGGCTTTGGGAGGGCAAGAAGAGGATGCAGAAATGGCAGTGCATGGCCTGGCTCCTCTCACTTCCTCTCTGCTGTCCGGCGTCCTCCCCTCCTCTTCCTCTGTGGTCTCTGACCTTGTCGTGGCGGTGGCATGTTCTCCTTTTCCTGCAGAGAGATGGAAGGCAGCTTTGTGCTCAACTTGAGAATATTTTTAGATATAGAGAAGTTAGCCTGGTGACCGCAGCAGCCTACCCTGAATATAAAATACTTGGAAAACCTTTTCCATGACAGGGTGTTCCTCGTTTGCTCAGCTCACAGCTTTGCTGGTGCTTCTGGATAGATGGCAATGGCACGGGCGGGTGCCTCTGCCACCTCATTCCCTGTGCCGATGGGCTCCCTCGCTCTGGACCTAAAATGCATTTCATTCCTCAGCAGCGGAGACAGTGGGGGCCACGGGCCTCCGCAGAAACATTGCAGAACGGCTCAGGAATGCAGAGCTGGAGCCGCTCCATGTGCTGGCGGAGGCGGCACGCTCCTCAGTCCCTGCCTCCCACCCTGCACCACCACCATGGCTCCGTGGCTCTGCAGGAGCAGGGCCCCTGCCCTCTGACTCACTCCTGGCCAAAACTGGATGCAGATCCTGCCTTAGTCAGCTCAGATCGATGTTTGGGATCAGCCCCCACTTGTGTACCCCTTTCCAGGGGAACCGGAGTTGGCAGCACTGTGCAGGGACGCAGAGACTCACTGTGGGCTGCTGCAGCGCAAGGAAGGCTGCCAGCACATTTTACCCAAGAACCTTCCCAGGCCAGGCTGAGGATGCACGATAAGCTTTCCCTGACAGCCTTAATAGGAAGCCTGGTAGGAGCAAATCAATCTAGAAGAGAACATGCAGATGTGGTGCATCCCACACTGTATCCTCCCACCACTGGGGTTTAAGGACAAGGCAGCTTGGGTTGGCAGAACAGAGGGACTCCCTCCCCATGAGCAGTCTCTGAGAGAGAGGAAAAGGCATGTCGTTGCTGGAGAGAATCAAGCTGGGGCCAGAGGAGGATTGGGAATGCTGAGCAGGACAGGGAGCAGTGGGACAGGGGCAGAGGACCCAATGTAGGGAGCCTGAGGCATGTGGGAAAGCACTGAAAGCTGCTGCACAGTGGGTAAACCCGAAGGGAAGGGCTCTTAAAAGCTGCGTCAGGCAAGCAGGGGTCTTATTTACAACCTTCTTCAGTTATTTCTTTCATATTTCACTGCTGTAAGAATATCACAGTACTGATTTGTTGTCATGAAATCTGGTGTTTTGGAACCCTGTTGAGGGGCACTTGCTCTGAGTCTGCTCTGGGCAATTCTTCAATCCTCAACTCTACAACTCCCTGAAAGGAGATTGTAGTGGGGCCAGTCTCTTCTACTGTGCCAACAGTGAGAGGACCAGAGGAAAGGGCCTTAAACTGAGATAGGGGAGATTCAGATTAGATACCAGAAAAAATTTTCTCACTGTTAGGGTGGTCAGGCATTGGAATAGCTTGCCCAGGGAGATGGTGGAGTCACCATTCCTGGAGGGGTGTTAAAGAGGCATCTGGATCTGGCACTGAGTGATGTGGTTTAGGGGTTACAGTGACAGTAGTGGGTGGACAGCTGGACTTGATGATCTTAAAGGTCTCTTCCAACCCTGATGATTCTTTAATTCTCTTCTGTTCTATGAAGCTGATGCTTCAGGCTGGATCCAGCTTGGTTCCTGTTTCAGATGGCATGGTGCAGCTCTGGCGTGCCCTTGCCATGGCTGGTCCCTTGCCCTGCTGTGCATCATCCTGTGCACAGGCTCCCCAACCCTGGGTTTGTGCCAGTAGCTGCTGCCACAGTCCCTGATCTCTGAGCACTCCCTGGGTGTGAGTGGTGCTTTCCACAGGTAATTGTATTTAACGTGTGGGTTCTGTGCCTGGTGCCCTTATCTTGCCTCCTCGAGCAGCTTCAGGCTTTTCCGTCCCTCTGTGCTCAGGGTGCCAGCTCAGCACGCTCTCCTGGTGACATGGAGGGCCCTGATAGCTGGGGCAGGGGCCTGCCAGCTCTGGGTCAAAGCTTGGTTTTCCTCTTGTGGCTTCTGTGTCATCGCAGGTTTAATTATAACTCCTTCCATCGTGCTGTCCCACAGTCTCTTATCTTGTGTTCTCCCACATGCTCGCTTCCTCCTCTCTGGCAGCATCTCCACTGGGTACCAGCTGCTGTCACTCCCGCAAGCGAGTAAAATTGGCTTTGGGACCTTGGCACGAGGAGGTGAGGGTCCCCGTGCTGGCTGGAGATCCCAACATCTGGAAAGTGGGACCCCCTCACAGGCTCACCAGCACAGTCTACAGCCCTTGCTTGCCAGTAGAATCTGGGTCCTGGTTTTCAGGCAGCAGGGGTGTCCCAGGAGGAGGAGGAGGAAGGACCCAGTGCACCGGAGGGCTCAGAAGCCAGAGCTCACCCATCTGTGTCCTCCAGCAGGTGACGCAGGAGTGGGGACAGCCCAGCCGCCACCATGGTTGCCCTCTCGCTGAAGATCAGCATCGGCAATGTGGTGAAGACGATGCAGTTCGAGCCCTCCACCATGGTGTACGACGCCTGCCGCATGATCCGGGAGCGGGTGCCCGAGGCCCAGTTGGGACAGCGTAAGTCCGTGGGGGGACTGGCTGCCGTGCCTTTGGCATTCCACTGGTCTCCCTTCTCCCTTCTGTCTGTGCCTGTCTGGTGCTTTCCCAGAGAAGTGGTGGGGTGGGGGAGCAAAGGCCGAGTCCTCCTGCCTGGTTGAGGTGAGGGTCTGAGCTTCTCAGGTTCCCTCCTCAACATCCCAGAAGAAATCTGGGGCTTTGGAAGGTAGGAAACGACATTTGGAAGCAAAATATTCCTGAAGCAACATGAGCCTGCTACTCTTTCTGTCTCTGCTCCTCTGTCCTACTTGCATTCATCACCACTAGCCAGGACTAGGTGTGTTTAAACAGTTGCAAGGGTCATTACAAACATTAATAAGCATTTATGTTAATTTTTCCTTTCTTGGGAGATGTATAGTGTCCATTGGGTCTGTCCCCTGCTAGCAGCTCTCTGTGAGACCTGGTGCTGGTGCTCCAGTAGCTTTCTAAGCCTTCTCAGCTCTAGCACTTTCCTGTTGCTGCTGGGCTCACGATTAAGCCTATGGCTCATGACGTGACTCACACCCACGCGGATGTGACCTGTCCCCATCAGGGATGGGGGGTTGGAGCTCTGGGACACTGTCACGGAGACTCTCCTGGGTCCCTGCAACCCCCGAAAGCAGCTGTGCCACCAGGGAGAGACAGCAGAGAGGAGGTCAGGAGTCGTGGGAAGAGGAGGGGAAGCGCAGTGACATCTGGGAGCTGCAAATTCCTTGAGGATGAAAGGAAATGCCTTCTCGCACCGTACCCGGCTGGTCATCAGTCCAGCAGACCATGGCTTTCAGTTTCAGAGAGGGACTGGATGTCTGTGGATGCAGGGCTATACTGGTGTTGGAAGGAGCATTGCATTTCCTGCTCCTGGGCGTGAGCCAGCCTGTTTATAAAAAACCAGCAAGACTAAAGCCTTAAAGGGAACTTCTTATTCCTGAGTTCCTTTTCAGTTTCTCACAGCTTTTCTTCTCCTATCTTCTTTGCAGCTTTTGTTTCTCTTTGTTCTCCTTAAACACTGGCACTCTGGCTCCCTTTTTGAGCTGCCCTGGTTTTTTGTCACCTTTGGGCTGGAGGAGCTTCAGTGTAAGTTTCCAGCTCTGCTGTTGCTCTGTCTCAGGAAGTGCCTCTCCCCGCCCAGCCTATGGATCTGGGGCAAGCTGCTCAGTTTTCAGTGCTTTAGAGTTATCCTCTTGGAATTTGCTTTGAAAACAGTTTGGGGTTTTGCTGGGGTTTTTTTTACTTTAAAAATAAAATGGCAAGCCTCCGTGGTTTTTCTGCTCCCTGTTTAGTAGGATCCTAACGGCAGTGTTAGCCAGGCAGGCGCAGGGCAGCTCAGGAATTTGTCCCTCCCCAAAGAGAGCTGCCAACAAGATGACGAGTTATAAACATAGCCAACCAAGACAGCCTGCGGCGCAGAGTTGTTGCAGAGGTGGAGAAGGACCTTTCCAGGGCACAGCCAGGCGTGGCCCTGGCCTCGAGCAGCATAAAAATGCAGTTTGAGCTGAGGTGCCGCTGCCCACGCTCCAGCAGCAGCATTTTCACGAGCCCCAAGGGAGCAGAATTTGGTGAACAGCAATCATTCACCACCTCTGACACCCCATCCTCCTTCAACCTTCTCCTCTACAGAGGAGTCCCAGCAATTCTAGTCCCTCACACCAAAGTTCCGTCATTTAAATTGCCTCTCTCTGCATCCTTCAAATTCTTCTGTGTCCTGTGGAGGTGCAGAGCCCACCACCACGAAGTACTCAAGGTGTCAATTGCCTAGATTTTATATACCAGTTTGAGCCCCTGGTGGTCTAGTGGTAAAGGCGCTGCGCTATCACCGCGGAGACCCGGGTTCGATTCCCGGTCAGGGCCACTCCCGGGCAGGTGGGGCTCGTTAGCCCTTAAAGGCAACCCACCTACGTCCTAAGGACCTCGCTGCCACCGTCCAAGCTCACTTGGCCCCGGCAGATGAGCCTTAGGATTAAAGGGTGGGCTCAGTTCCGCGCACACTGTGTCTCACCTAAAAAATCCAATGCGCAGGCTGGAAGGTGTAAAAAACCTTCCCCGGATCTTCGCTCGCGAAGACTGGCCATTATTATTATTATATACCAGTTTCCAGCACCCTTCCTGGTGATCCAAGACTTTATTACCTTGCTTTCACCACTACTACACATTGCACTGAAGATTTTCGAGAGCTGTCAACCACTCTCGCTTCTGTGGTGTCTGTTACTTCCAAGTTGGGCATTGTGTAGGCACACTTCAGATGATTTTTTTCCATAGATATCTATGGTAAAACGTGCACCTCGGAGCTTGATTGCCAGCTTTGTTGCCCACTCCTTGGGTTTAGGCTCCAGCTTTCACAGTGCTGCTGTGCTTCATGCACTGGGCTGCACTGATGCACATCCCTGGGCACAGACTGGCATCTTGGTGGCCCTGTCCTGCTCAGGACTCCCCTGGCAGAGACTTTACCTGTTTTTCAGCTAACGATTTTGGGCTGTTCCTCTCGGATGAAGACCCAAAGAAAGGGATCTGGCTGGAGGCTGGGAAGGCTCTGGACTACTACATGCTTCGCAATGGGGTAAGTGTCCATCCCACGTCCTTCCAGCTGGTACCTGCCTTGGCTGCACAGTTGGATGTGCCCACAGTGTGGAGATGGTGTGGGTGCCTGCCCTGCTGCCTTGCATTGTGTCCTGCAGCACACTCTGTACCCCCCACAATTGCGCTGGGCATTTGGGAGCTGTTGACATGATGGTGGATTGTGGGTTCCCTGCACTGGTTCCACCACTGGGAGCTGTGCTCTGCTGTGCCTGCAGGATACCATGGAATACAAGAAGAAGCAGCGGCCCCTGAAGATCCGCATGCTGGATGGGACAGTGAAAACAGTGATGGTGGATGACTCCAAAACTGTCACGGACATGCTCATGACAATCTGTGCCCGGATTGGTGAGAAGAGAGGGCAGCAACGGGGGGGAAGAAGGGAGGTGGGGAGAGATGGCAGCATCTGACAGGCTACTGGGGGAGTGGTAGCAGCTCTGCATCAGATGGCCTGGCAACGTGGGTGTCCAAGGGGTGCGTGACGCTGGGGAGGCCGCACTGCTCAGCACCCCTGCGTTGCTCTGTGCTTTGTATTTGGCAGCAAAATCATGCTGTGTTTGGTTCTCTGCTCTCCTGCAGGCATCACAAACTACGATGAGTACTCGCTTGTTCGGGAGATTATGGAAGAGAAGAAGGAGGAGGTTACTGGCACCCTCAAGAAGGACAAGACCCTACTGCGAGATGAGAAGAAGATGGAGAAGCTCAAGCAGAAGTTGCACACAGATGACGAGTGTAGGTGCCTGGATATGCTGGGGATGGGGTCAGCCTGTGCTGAGGCAGTGGGGAGGGGAGCAGGGAACCCCCTGCAAGGGGAAGAGCCAATCAGCAGAGCAGAGAGGACTATAATGAGGGAATGTGTGTGTGCACACCTCCTGGAGTGCCTCCTGCCTGGGGCCCAGGACAGAGGAGTGAGAGCCGGCATGCACTCAGTCCTCATGAGCAGCCCCAGGGCTGGGATCAGCCCTGCCTCAGGGCCTGTCCCAGCTCATGCCTTGGCTTTGTCTGCAGTGAATTGGCTGGACCACGGCCGGACCCTGCGCGAGCAAGGCATCGACGACAATGAAACGCTGCTGCTGCGGCGCAAGTTCTTCTACTCTGACCAGAATGTGGACTCGCGAGATCCTGTGCAGCTCAACCTGCTCTACGTGCAGGTACAACTTCCCAGGGCATCTGGCTCCACTGCCAAGTGCCAGCCCCTGGCTGGTGGCTGAAGGTTTTTTGAGGAGCCGCCATGGGGGGTACTTCAGGATACCCAGTTATTTCCTGGGTAAGAGCTAATGCTGGCAATCCCAGCCCTGCCCTCTGTGTACTCCAGAGCTCCCTAGGGAATCCCATGTCAGCTGCCTGGTTCATCTGTCTGGTCAGCTTCAGGAACCATCCTGAAGTCCTGCTGCTGTTTCTCTCCCAGGCTTGATGCTGTTCCCTGTAGGGACAGCCTGGTTCTAGATCTTCCTGTTTTTGAGGGCAACTTCTTTTAAGTCTGGAAAAGAGTTAGTGCTTGGTGTGGAGGGGAGCAATGGCAGGGCTGCGTGGCTGGCCAACTGACAGCAGTGTCTTCTTTTCCTACACAGGCTCGTGATGACATCCTGAACGGTTCACACCCTGTCTCCTTTGACAAAGCCTGCGAGTTTGCTGGCCATCAGTGCCAAATCCAGTTTGGGCCATACAACGAGCAGAAGCACAAGCCAGGCTTTCTGGAGTGAGTGTCCTGAGGAGCCCCTGGGCTTTGTCTTGAAGAGTCTGGAGTAGCTTGGCAGTCCCCAGCACCACACCGCCCTGTGGGGCTTCAGGGGTTTGGTTGCCTCTGGTGCAGCCCTTCTCTTCCTTACAGCACAGTGCCCAAGTGTGGAGATCCACACCAGCTATAAGGGGTGCCAGCCCCCCATCCTGCCATCCTGCTCCCTCTGGCACCCCTACAGGAACATGCAGCCAGCTCCAGTGGGGGTCCCCAGCCTACCATATGGCCTGCCCTGATGCCACACAAAGGGCTGCATCCTCAGCACCTCCACCCCACTCTCAGCTAGGGCAACTCCAAGGACAGCTTTCATAGCTTTAACAGTCTCTCCCAAATCCGTCCTGCTTCCAAAATCTTCCAACTCGTGCCCTGGCAGGGGTTTGTCTGAGGCTTTGGGTTGGATCTCCTCACAGTTGAAGACAGACTCTGGCTTTGGGCTCTGCTAATAGCAACTGTCTTGGCTGTCTCTTGGCAGGCTCAAGGATTTCCTGCCTAAGGAGTACATCAAGCAGAAAGGGGAGCGCAAGATCTTCATGGTAGGTGCAGCAGGGAGGTTGGAAGCTGGACTTTTTGTTCCTCCTTACTAAAGGCTGAGCCTGCTCCTGTCACGGAAGGCAGCACGTAGCAGTCTGATGGGAGGGAAACAGGAGCAGGAGCTGTAGGTGGGCAGACAAGGCAACTCCTGAGATATACCAAAGATCAGAGGGATACTGTAGCAGGGTAGGGGATGTGCATGGGGCAGGGAGAGCCTGGAAAGGCTGGGGAACGATGGCACAAACAGGACTATGGATCCTGGTGCAATGTTCTGTCTTTGCTGGAACAGGCCCACAAGAACTGCGGGAACATGAGCGAGATCGAGGCCAAAGTTCGCTATGTGAAACTTGCCCGTTCCCTCAAGACCTACGGGGTCTCCTTCTTCTTGGTCAAGGTAGGGCAGCAGCCTCCCGGTCCCTCTTCTCATCCACCAAAATTCCTCGTCTTCAGCATTCCTCCCTCTGTTGTGCCTCCAACTACTACCCCTCAACACACATTGCTCCAGTTTTCCTTACGTGTCCACTATCTGCCTCTCCTTCATGCTTTTCACTGTGCAATGCCTTCCTACTCCTTGGTTCATGCTTTTTCTCCTTTCCAAGCTCCATATGGTAGTTGTCACTGTCAGAAAGCATGGCCTTGGGGGTGTTTGGTAGCCACAGCAGGTCTCAAAGGTCTCTGCCTGGATGGATCCATCCTGGGGGTAGCCACAGCCCTTGTGTTGTGACCCACAGGAGAAGATGAAGGGGAAGAACAAGCTGGTGCCACGGCTGCTGGGGATCACCAAGGAGTGTGTGATGCGCGTGGACGAGAAAACCAAGGAAGTGATTCAGGAGTGGAGCCTGACCAACATCAAGCGTTGGGCAGCCTCACCCAAGAGCTTTACCCTGGTAAGGACCAGCTTGGTCCTCCACATTCCCTCCCTGTTGGTGCCCCCGTGGGGGGCTGCTCTCGCTTAACCCCTCTCTCGGGTGTTGTCCCACAGTGGCACAGCCCTGCCGTCCTCTGGGACCTCTCCCAGCTCCTGTTCCGGAGGCTGGCGCTCGGGTGCTTAGCGCATACCAAAGGGGCTCAGGGTGGCCGCCAGTGCTCTGCTCCGGTGCTACCCTGTGCCCTGCTGTTGCAGGATTTTGGAGATTACCAGGATGGTTACTACTCGGTGCAGACGACGGAGGGGGAACAGATCGCCCAGCTGATTGCTGGCTACATAGATATCATCCTGAAAAAGGTGAGGCTGTGCTGAGGAGGGCACTGATAACTGGCAAGAGGTGCCCCTTCCAGCTGCTTCCAGACAGCCATTGGCACATGGTACTGCTGGAAGAGCTGGAGATAGGGCAGGGGAGCCCTGCAGCTCTGGTACAGTGTCTGGGCTGCAGGAGAAGGGGAAGGTTCGGAGGTACGTGCTGTCTGACACACCTTCTCTTTCCCTCCACAGAAAAAGAGCAAAGACCACTTTGGACTGGAGGGGGATGAGGAGTCCACCATGCTGGAAGACTCTGTGTCTCCAAAGAAGTAAGTCTTCCTTCCAGGAGCAAGATAGTTGCCAAGAAGAAATTGAATGGAGAGCAGGCTCCAGCCAAACTTGCAACACAGCATATCTAGAGGAGGAGCTACTAGTCCTTTGGTGCCAGCTCTCCCACGGAGCCTGGTTCTGTGCCCGTGGGCATTGCTTCACCAGGTATTTCCTTCCATTTCAGGTCAACAGTCGTGCAGCAGCAGTTTAACCGTGTAGGCAAGGCAGAGCTGGGCTCAGTGGCCCTGCCAGCCATCATGCGGACAGGAGCTGGAGGGCCAGAAAACTTCCAGGTGGGCACGATGCCACAGCCTCAACTGCAAATCACCAGTGGCCAGATGCACCGAGGGCACATGCCTCCGCTGGTAAGCTCTCCCAGTGCTCACACAGGACACAAACTCTCAGAGGTGCCTCTTGGGCTCATGTAGACCCATTCATTTGGGTCCATGGCCAGGCATTGTCTTTCTGGGAAGGGCAGGGGCTCTGTGCTGCTGGTATCATGGGCTTGCTGGCCTGGCTGAGTTGGTGTACTCATGCATCCTCTCTGCAAACTTGAGCTAAACCTCAGCATTTTCCCCTGACTGGTAGTTGCAGCCTCTCCTTCAGGTTGTGCCTGGAGAACCCCACTAGTGCCGTGGTTTGCAGCAGAGTCCAGGTGGTTAACTGTGAGACTTGCTTGTACCTTTGGTGGGATGTGGCATTTCCCAGTGGGAGTTGCAGAGCGAGTCCGCCTTCTTGCTAAGTGTATGGAGACCTACATAGAGTAGGGGAGGGAATGTGTGTTGCAGGGGAGCGAGCAAATTACTTAGGCCTAGATTTCCAGCCTTCAGCATACCTCGGTCTGTCTCTGTGTTTGCAGACCTCAGCCCAGCAAGCCCTGACTGGCACCATCAACTCAAGCATGCAGGCTGTGCATGCAGCCCAGGCCACGCTGGACGACTTCGAGACCTTGCCGCCCCTCGGGCAGGATGCTGTGAGTGCTGGGTGGACGCAGTGTGCTGGGGGTGGACCTTGCTGGAGGCTGTTAGGTGGGCTGTGTGAGGCTAGTCACATTCCCAGGAGGAGTGTCAGCAGCTCCTGGAAGATCTGCTGACTGAACAGAGGTGGCGTCACCAGATATGGGCACTGAAGGAGAAAATGAGACTGCACACACAGAGTTTGATTTCGGGACTTGTCCCCAGACACTTTTTGGCATTTCCCTTTTATTCATATTCTCTTGTAAACAGCACCTGGAATCTCAGTTAACCAGAATTCACAGGATCAGCCCAAACCAGTGCCTTGATCCCACGCGTTCACACTAGCGTCAAGTTGTGGCTGTGTTCAGCCATGAGAGAAAATCACACACGTCTCACGCAGCCTGGTTAAAGTGGTTTTCCACTTTGAGACATAGCATTCTCTCTCAAAGCACTTAGCCAAGGCCAGTCTTCCTTTTTGATTCTGATTAACTAAATGCAGCTGCAGAGTGACTGAGCTTGTCCCCACAGTATCCCACCCTGTGGGCAGATATGGAAGGGACATTCGACCATGTTGCTTGGTCAGAATGGACTGGAGAGTTTTGGGTGGTCATGGGTCTTCCTTTTCTTTATATCCTCTTCTCTGTTTCTCTGTGTGAGCATGTGTGCTACTACCCACCGCCTCTGCTACCATCTCCTGATCTTGTTTCTCCATTTCAGGCATCCAAAGCTTGGCGTAAAAACAAAATGGATGAGTCTAAGCACGAGATCCATTCCCAAGTGGATGCTATCACCGCTGGCACAGCCTCAGTGGTCAACCTCACTGCAGGTATATGGAGGGTTGAAGAGGGATGCCCCAGTTCTGGAGAAAGCTCTATTGTCTGGTTGAAGGACCAGGTTCCTGCACTCTGTCACAGACTGGAGGTGCCAGCCTGACCCACTAGAAATAAATCAGCCCCAAACGCTGCTAATGTCCCTGTAGAGCTGGCCTTCCCCCACAGCTCACCCAGCTTTTAGACCCCTACCTGTGCTCAGCCCAGTCCTTCCTCCCAGCCCTTAGCTGACCAGCCATGATCTGGACCAGGAGCATGTTGTCCAGTCCGTGCCATAGCTTGAGGCACAGCCATGGCACAGTGTAGCTCCCTTTCCCTGGGCTCTCCTGCCAAATCTCAGCCGATGTGACAACCTTTCAGGCTCAGGAGCCAGAGGATCTGTCCCCCTGCTCCCAGAAAGGAAAACCACATCAGTGGTAGGTGTGTGGATGCTTTTGGAGCATCACTCGAAGCACATCCCATCTTGTCTTGTCTCTTTCCTGTGCAGGGGATCCCGCAGACACAGACTATACTGCTGTGGGCTGCGCCGTCACCACCATCTCTTCCAACCTGACTGAGATGTCCAAGGGCGTGAAGCTGCTGGCTGCGCTGATGGAAGACGAGGGAGGGAATGGGCGGCAGCTTCTGCAGGCAGCCAAAAACCTGGCCAGCGCCGTCTCAGACCTGCTGAAAACAGCGCAGCCTGCCAGCGCTGAGGTGGGGGGCAGGAGGGGCTGTGGGTCAAGAGGAAGGGAGAAGCTGAGGGGAACCATTGAGTGGGGTTTTAGGTTTTGCTCACGGACCCAGTGTTGATTATGCCTTGTTCCTTGCAGCCTCGCCAGAATCTCCTGCAGGCTGCCGGCCTCGTGGGCCAGACCAGCGGGGAGCTGCTGCAGCAGATCGGGGAGAGCGACACCGACCCCCGGTTTCAGGTGAGTGCACCCAGCAGAAACCAGGGACACTCGTTCCCTAAAACCATCAGCCTTTGCACAGGACCTGGCAGGAGGGCTCTAGGTCAAAGCGTGTCCAGTACCAGCAGTGACTTTGTGGGGGAGGGGACAGGCCGTTGCCCATCTCTGTCCCTAGTGCTACTGTGATATAACACCTCTTATCTTGTGGATTCCCATGTAGATCCCAGAAAGCCGGTGTACTTGGATCCTGCCTGCCTCTGAACCAAAGACGGTAAAACAGGGCTGTAGGCATGGCTTGGTCGTCCCTGCCGTCTCCAACACGAGGGGTGCTCCTCTGGGAACTGTCATCTGAACTCTTTGGAGAAGGGCTCTTGAAAAATTCTGCTTTCCTGGTGATTGGCTCTCAGAAGTCCATACATTCGGGTCGCTGCTTGGACAAGTGCTGCTGTGGGAGTCCTCCCTTGCAGCTCCTGCCCGCTGCTCCCTGCCTGCCTGTGGGAGCTGCCTGCCTGCTGCCCCCGTCAGAGGCCCAGGATGGCTGGAGCCTTGTGGGGAGGTTTTAGATGAGCTGACTTCCAGCTGGCTGGCTTTCCCACGACTGCTTCTTCCAGCGCAAGGGAGGTTAGCACACTGTGCTGGGCAGGAGGATCCAGCCATAGTATAGTTCAAAACAGACTCCAGAAAGAAGGGGTTTCTGTTCGTGGCAGCCACGCAGCCTCGACATGAGCAGAAAGGCCTTGACAAATATCCAAGGGGAGCAGAAAAGCTAGCACCAGAGCAGGAAGCCGTGCTTGACCAGGCAACAGTGCCAGGACAAAGCATTCCCAAGGGGCAGATTTAGGACCTGGAAGACAATTTGCAGTCATACAGAAGTATGTTGTGCTTCACAGCTGCCAGACCCGAGTGTATCTACTTCCCTCCTTGGGCTCCGATGCAGTGGTCTGGGGACTCTGAAAATGATTGCATGCGCTCTCTGGTCTTTCCTCCTGTCTCAAAAGGTGGTGGATTGTAGTGGGAGTGATCTTGGCTTGCAGGAGGCAAGGGGATGCTGTGACACTGGTTTGGTGGCCAGAGGTTTCCCTGTCATGGGGTGTGGGGCCACTCGCTGTGAGCACACACACACCAGGAGGTTGGCAGCAGGCAGAGAGCTCTGCCCTACCAAGGTCTTTGCCCCAAGCCTTTGATGTTTAGCACTAATGCTGCCAGTTTTCACTGGCAACATTCTGCAGGGGCTAATCCTGAGGGCTGAAGCATCCTGTCACATCTGGTGCCCCGCAGGGAAGCAGTTTGCTGTGTTGGTCGCTGCATGTTGTGTGTTGGCAGGGTGGCCCTGTGGCTTTCCTGCCACCCTGGGGAGAGGATGCCGGTTGCCTTGTCATATACCTCTTTTTAGCCTCAGGAATAACAGCAGAGGTGTAGCCCATGAACCAACAAGGTAGAATAGAAAATACCTGGCATGTCTGCAGTACAGGTGATCAGTGTGGGAGCATCTCCTGCTCACCTCTTGCTGGTGTGATGAGCCAAGAGGATGAGCCTGTAGGCTGGCAGCTGCCCCAGTGTGGCTGTGCCATGGTTGGCTTGCACCTGCCGTTTGGCTGGAAGGGTTTGCCATTTTTTTGCTGTGTTCAGGTGTTTGCGAATCCAGGCAGTCCAGCGGTACAGTCATCGCTGCCTGGGGAGTGGGTGTCGGGATGATGCTGAGCATTGCCTGAGCTGCTGTGAGTGGCCTTCATGGCAGTGCAGGCTGCATCCTAGAGGTGGGCTACACCCTCGCTGCCAGCTGTAGGACACAGAAGAGAAGGGGTCAAGGTGTTGCCAGGTATTCGGTGCTGCTGGTGCTGGGACAGAGTGGATGAAAGGCCCCCGAGAGCTCACATTTCCCCTCTGAATATTTCATGAGAGCCCTGCAGACGTCTGTGGCCATTCCCACTGCCATGGCTGCCTCGCTGACCCTTTCTGTCCCCTCCCAGGACATGCTTATGCAGCTGGCGAAGGCAGTGGCCAGTGCTGCTGCTACGCTGGTGCTCAAAGCCAAGAACGTGGCTCAGAAGACAGAAGACGCAGCACTGCAGACACAGGTGATCGCTGCGGCCACCCAGTGTGCCCTCTCCACCTCCCAGCTCGTGGCCTGCACCAAGGTAAGCAGTAAGGTTAACCCTTGGCTCAGTGTGGCTGCAAGCTTCACCTGACAGGGTGGAGCAGCTTCATGGTGGGCTCCTAGGTGTGCCAGAACCACATGTCCTAAGGCAGGACATTGGGAGTCTGGCACAGGGAGTGTGGGCTGCCTCTCACTGGGTCCCTGCCACTGTGCCCAAGCAAGGAGTATCCTCTTTGGAGGAGCAGAAGTTTGGGATAGCTGTCTCTGCACAGACCCTACAAGGAGCCTACCACGCTTGCTTCCCAACCTTTCTCCTCCCTTCTAGGTTGTGGCTCCCACAATCAGTTCCCCAGTCTGCCAGGAGCAGCTGATTGAGGCTGGCAAGTTGGTGGCCAAGTCGGCTGAGGGCTGCGTGGAGGCCTCCAAGGCGGCCACCAGTGATGACCAGCTCCTGAAGCAGGTGGGGGTGGCAGCCACAGCTGTCACCCAGGCCCTCAATGACCTGCTGCAGCACATCAAGCAGCACGCCTTGGGCGGGCAGCCCATTGGGCGCTACGACCAGGCCACTGACACCATCCTCAACGTCACCGAGAACATATTCAGCTCTATGGGCGATGCAGGTGAGAGCAGCTGATGGCGGCCAAAATCGACCACGGTGAATAATGAAGTACCAGGGAGCCTCTGGGGCTTGCTAACGGGCCACACTTCCATTCTGTTCCAGGGGAGATGGTGCGTCAGGCTCGTATTCTGGCCCAGGCCACCTCCGACCTTGTCAATGCCATCAAAGCCGATGCTGAGGGAGAGACTGACCTGGAGAATTCACGCAAGCTTCTGAGTGCAGCCAAGATCCTGGCTGATGCCACTGCCAAGATGGTGGAGGCTGCAAAGGTCAGTGCATGGGAGAGGGTGGATGCTGGCTTGGACCCTCAGCCCTGTCCAACACTGTTGGCTCACTGCTGGAGAGGGGACGAGCAGCCCCTGGGTGGGGCAGCAGTTCCCAGAGTAAAGGACCTATGTGGTGGGATGGGCTCATCCCAGAGCTGTGAGTGGTAGCAGATGAGCTATTCCCAGTTCTGCTGCTGGGCTGTACCGGAGAGGCATTGGGCATCTCCCCGGCACTGTAAGCAGCTGGGCTACCTTGTGGGGAACTCCATGGCATCAGGCCAGAGCAGGTGCTGCTTCAGGAGGACAAGGGACTCAGTGGTCCCTGTGAGGTGTGATGGGTTTTCTGCTCTCTCCAGGGAGCTGCAGCCCACCCTGACAGTGAGGAGCAGCAGCAGCGGCTGCGCGAGGCAGCAGAGGGGCTGCGCATGGCCACCAACGCCGCAGCCCAGAACGCCATCAAGAAGAAGCTCGTACACAAACTGGAGGTGAGGTGCTGGGCAAGGCTCTGCAGAGGGCAAACAGGCATGGTCAGTGAGCAAGGCTTGACCAGGAGCCCCCACATCCCTGCATTTTCCAGCAGATAAAGTCCTTTTCAGACACAGTGTCTGTGCTGCATCATGCAGAGACCTCCCTTCCTTTCCCTTGTGTGCACTGTGTTGCTTTGGGGGTCTGGGCATCGAGGGTTCTCTGGTGTCACAGATACAGGCACAGGAGACATTGTTTAGGGCGGCTGGGTCCTGGTGCATGGGGGGTGACTTGAGACAGACTGTCCTGCCACCAGTGTTAACTCGTACCTCCCTGTGCCAGCACGCAGCCAAGCAGGCTGCTGCCTCCGCCACCCAGACCATCGCCGCCGCGCAGCACGCCTCCTCCTCCAACAAGAACCCTGCTGCACAGCAGCAGCTGGTGCAGAGCTGCAAGGTAAGGGCCTGGATCTGGGCCTGGCATCTCCTATGCTCCCTCTCCCCCATCCCATCTCCCATCAGCCATGCTGGGCTTCACGTTCAGCCACAGTGGGCAGAGGACCTTGGGGTCCTCACTCAGGTCCCCCAGGAACCAGTCTTTTGACTGCTGGTCCGGGGTTGGATCCATCTCCTCCTGACCATGGTTCTCAAGTGACTGTTTTTCCCTGGCAGGTGGTGGCAGAGCAGATCCCAATGCTGGTGCAGGGTGTGCGAGGAAGCCAGTCCCAGCCGGACAGCCCCAGCGCCCAGCTGGCTCTCATTGCTGCAAGCCAGAACTTCCTGCAGGTACCCGCACTGCCCAGAGCCTCCCATGCTAGCTGTGGCATTACAGCTTTCCTACTGTGCTTGGCTCTCCTAAGATACTGGAAGACCTTCTGTACATGTTCAACTGACATGCTGTATGTTCATTCCCTTCTCAATGCTTTTTGTTTTGGCCTGACAGCCTGGTGGGAAGATGGTAGCTGCAGCCAAGGCCACCGTCCCCACCATCACGGACCAAGCCTCTGCGATGCAACTCAGCCAGTGTGCCAAGAACTTGGCTGCAGCTCTGGCTGAGCTCCGCACAGCCGCCCAGAAGGTGAGAGGCTGGGTCCCATCCCACAGCGGGAGAGTGCAGCTGGCTGTGCAGAGCAGGAGAGGACAGTGGGGACAGCCTGGTGGCAGGTCATGATACCTGCTGAAGCCAGGTGGGCTCAGTGATCACCTGCTCACCTTCCCTTCTGCCCCATCACAGGCTCAGGAGGCGTGCGGACCCCTGGAGATAGACTCTGCGCTGGGTCTGGTGCAGAGCCTGGAGAGGGACTTACAGGAAGCCAAGGCAGCTGCCCGCGATGGCAAGCTCAAGCCTCTGCCAGGAGAGACGGTGAGGGCACAGGAAAGGGTGGCTCAGGGTGATGCAGGGTGGACTCTGGGGCAGGGGAGTTACCAAAAGGTGCAGCTCACCAACATGTCCCAACTCATCCCCCTGCAGATGGAGAAATGTGCCCAGGACCTGGGGAACAGCACCAAAGCCGTCAGCTCCGCCATCGCTCACCTCCTGGGAGAGGTGGCCCAGGGCAATGAGAACTACACAGGTACTCACCTCTGCAGTAGGGCTGGAAGAGGGGGCACTGAGCTGATGGGCACTGACCTCTCGATCCCTACAGGAATTGCTGCTCGGGAAGTGGCCCAGGCCCTGCGCTCGCTCAGCCAGGCTGCCCGTGGTGTGGCCGCCAACACCTCCGACCCGCAGGCACAGAATGCCATGCTGGAGTGTGCCAGCGACGTCATGGATAAAGCCAACAACCTCATCGAGGAGGCGCGGAAAGCAGTGGCCAAGCCTGGTGACCCAGAGAGCCAGCAGCGCCTGGCCCAGGTAGGCAGAGTGTACCCAGGAGGGTACCCCAGTGTGCCCTGTCAGGCCATGGGAAGGGCATGAGGTTGGCTGGGAGGTGGTGACCCCTCTTTGCTTCTCTGCAGGTGGCCAAGGCAGTGTCACAGGCTCTGAATCGCTGCGTTAACTGCCTGCCAGGGCAGCGAGACGTGGATGCTGCCATCCGCATGGTGGGAGAGGCCAGCAAGAGGCTGCTCGCGGATTCGGTGAGCCAAAGGGGGGAAGTCTTATGATGCGAGGCAGTCCAACTGCATCAGATTCCTCTAAGCATATCCCCAAGCACGTGCCTTATTTTCATCCTCCACCTCCATTCACCTTGCTGCCCCTCCTAACCCTTTACCTCCTTCCAGTTCCCTCCCAGCACCAAGAGCTTCCAGGAGGCGCAGAGCCAGCTGAACCAGGCAGCTGCGGGGCTCAACCAGTCTGCCAACGAGCTGGTGCAGGCATCACGTGGCACCCCTCAAGACCTGGCCAAGTCCTCTGGCAAATTTGGGCAGGACTTCAATGAGTTCCTGCAGGCAGGAGTGGAGATGGCCGGCCAGTCCCCGGTGAGAGTAAATGCCTGTTGGGGTGTCCTGGGTATAGTAAGAGGTTTGGAATGCCTGAGGAGGTGGCTGACCACAGGCAGGGTGGCCAGGCAGTAGTGGTTAGGGTGGCTGTGGCCAACACGGTTGGATGGTGTCTGGAGCTGTGCAAAACCACAGCAGTAGGGAGAAGGTGGCTTGAGTTAGTTCAGTGAGAATTGCTGTCGGTAAACAAATTGGATGAAAGAAAATGGCTCAGCTTGAAAATCACCAGAGAAGACCCAGGGTGGATGTGGAGTTGGGGAACGTGCTGCTGCAGATAACACTTCTTGGCTCCTTGCAGAATAAGGAAGACCAGGCACAGGTGGTGTCGAACTTGAAGAGCATCTCCATGTCCTCCAGCAAGCTGCTCTTGGCTGCAAAGGCTCTCTCTGCCGACCCTGCTGCCCCCAACCTCAAGAATCAGCTGGCAGCAGCGGCACGGTAGGAGGAACTGCTCCCTGAGAGCTGCTGGCCACAGCAGTGGGCCTAGGTGTTGAGGCAGGCCTTGATCCATGGGTCTTTTTCCCATGTCCCTGGCAGGGCTGTGACCGACAGCATTAACCAGCTGATCACCATGTGCACCCAGCAGGCCCCTGGCCAGAAGGAGTGTGACAATGCCCTGCGGGAGCTGGAGGTGAGAAGCCACATCTTGATGAGACAGTAGAGAGGCTGAGATGGTGGGGAGGGAGGAAGTGCAAGTGAAGGATGCAGAACCTTTCTCTGAATGTGACACCCTTATCCCTGCAGACGGTGAAGGAACTGTTGGAGAACCCCACCCAGACTGTCAATGACATGTCCTACTTCAACTGCCTTGACAGCGTCATGGAGAACTCCAAGGTGAGCCCTGATGTAGGAATGGAAGTTTGAGAAAGAAAACAGAGGATTTGGGAAGGATGTGGGCACAAAGGGAAAGGTGGTTCCTCCTTCACTGACAAAGCACAGTGAGCTCTGATCCTGGGAGCACTGTGGTAGCAGGAGATGATGTTCATAACCAGTATGTGGTGTATCCTGCAGGTGTTGGGTGAGTCCATAGCTGGCATCTCCCAGAATGCCAAGAACAGCAAACTGCCCGAGTTCGGGGATTCCATCCGTGCCGCCTCCAAAGCTCTTTGCGGGCTGACAGAGGCAGCTGCCCAGGTGAGACACAGTCAGCCCTGAGCATTACTCCAGGTGCACAGTTGCCACATGCACCTCACCCCTGCCTTTCCAAGCCTGTTCCCATGGGACAGTGCTGCCAGGCTCCTCTGCAGGCTGTGCCTGCTCTGAGCTCCCCTGCTCTGTGCAGGCTCTCTCTCACTGCCTCTGTCGTGCTCTTAGGCTGCCTATCTTGTGGGAGTCTCAGACCCCAACAGCCAGGCCGGACAGCAGGGCTTGGTAGACCCCACTCAGTTTGCCAGAGCAAACCAAGCCATCCAGATGGCCTGCCAGAACCTGGTGGACCCTGCCTGCACCCAGTCCCAGGTGAGTGTGGGGTGGGGCACAGTTACAGGCATTTTCTTGCACAAAAAGGAGTTGCATGTCCAGTTGGGAGAGCTGCTTCCCAAGAGTTAGCCAAGATGGTGGCTGATGTCTCATCAGACCCCACCAGCTGCACTAGGAACCAGCTGGTAGCTTTGGTGCAATGGTGACAGTCCAGATGGAGGGCTCTGTGGGCGTGCAGGATGTTGGTGATCCTGAGTCTCAAGAGGGACCCCTGTCATCACTAGTGCCCCATACAGGGTGGGCGGGAAGAGAGATCTGTGAGGGTAGGGGGTCATGATGGATCCTGCTTTACTCTTCTTTCCCCTGCAGGTGCTGTCAGCAGCCACCATCGTAGCAAAACACACCTCAGCCCTGTGCAACACGTGCCGCCTGGCCTCCTCCCGCACCGCCAACCCTGTGGCCAAGCGCCAGTTCGTCCAGTCGGCCAAAGAGGTGGCCAACAGCACGGCTAACCTGGTGAAGACCATCAAGGTGCGACTTCCCTTCTGAGGCACTGTGGTGGGATGGGAGTTAGGGCACGGTGGGGGTTGGATAACTGCTCTGGTCTATCCACACCAGGCCCTGGATGGCGAGTTCAATGAGGAGAACCGGGAGCGGTGCCGTGCTGCCACTGCCCCTCTCATAGAGGCCGTGGATAACCTGACAGCCTTCGCCTCCAACCCAGAGTTTGCCACCGTTCCTGCCCAGATCAGCCCAGAGGTGGGATACTGCAGGGAGAGGGCCCTGTCACTGCCTGTGACAGGGGCTGCTGTAGGGTGGAGAGGAGTTGTGCCTTCCCTGAGCCTGGGATGGAGTCCCAGTGGGGCTAGTGCACTGAGGGGGTGTGATGGGAAGGTTTCAGCAAGCCTTGGCCTTCGAGGGGCTGGTCAAGGGTAAGAGTCATGGGAGACTTCCCATGCACAGTCCCCTCCCTCACCATCCTGTTGTCTCCCTGTGCAGGGTCGCAGAGCCATGGAGCCCATTGTCTCTTCAGCCAAGACCATGCTGGAGAGCTCCGCTGGCCTCATCCAGACTGCCCGTTCTCTGGCTGTCAACCCCAAGGACCCACCGCAGTGGTCAGTGCTGGCTGGACACTCACGCACCGTCTCAGACTCCATCAAGAAGCTGATCACCAACATGAGGTGAGCAGAGTCCTGAGTGAGCATTCCTGGGAATGTTTTGGCTCATCATCTCTTTGGCCACTGCTGGTGGGGGGAGGCAAGGGATGGGATGGAAGATGCTATCCCTTCTGTCCTGCCTGGAAGCTGCTTTTCCATTTCTCACAGGGGCTGATGGGAACACATGCTGGTGTGCCCAGGGTCTTAACACATTGGGTTACCCCAAAGCCCGGGAGAGGGGTCCTGCCCTCAGCAGCACCAGCCAAGGCTTGGGGCACAGGAATGGCGTAGCATCTCTCAGCACTTGCCTGATCCATTTGTCTCCCAGGGACAAAGCTCCAGGACAGCGGGAGTGTGACGAGGCCATTGAGGTGCTGAACAGGTGCATGCGGGAGGTGGACCAGGCCTCCCTCGCTGCCATCAGCCAGCAGCTGGCTCCCCGAGAAGATATCTCCCAGGAGGTGGGTCAGGGACATGCTGTGGCAAGCCTAATGGGGTGGGCGTCCTTTCCCCACCTCTCAGCAGCATGCGGACACCCTCTCTTTGCACAGGCTTTGCATAACCAGATGATCACAGCTGTCCAGGAGATCAGCAACCTGATCGAGCCTGTGGCCGGTGCGGCGCGGGCCGAGGCGTCGCAGCTGGGGCACAAGGTAACCGGGGTGTGGAGGCTGACGAGGCACTTGGTGCGTGGCGAGGAGAGGTACAAGGCAGCTGGGGCTGGAAGCTGCTGTTGCTAAAGCTGCTCTTCCCTGTAGGTGTCCCAGATGGCTCAGTACTTTGAGCCTCTCATTATGGCGGCCATTGGTGCTGCCTCCAAAACGCCCAACCACCAGCAGCAGATGAACCTCCTGGACCAGACCAAAACACTGGCTGAATCCGCCTTGCAGATGCTGTACACAGCCAAGGAGGCTGGTGGGAACCCCAAGGTGAGCAGGGGCCTGTGAGGGAATGTGTCATTGGCGTGGGATCCTTTTGGGGTGCATGGTGCACGTGCATATAACAGACATGGAAGCCCCAGGGTGAGTTTGCAGCCTCCCTGTCGGGAGAAGAGCCCCTGCCTGCCTTACCTGACTCTGGCTTGTCCTTGTAGCAAGCTGCCCACACCCAGGAGGCTCTGGAAGAGGCTGTGCAGATGATGAAGGAAGCGGTGGAGGACCTGACCACCACCCTGAATGAGGCAGCCAGTGCTGCAGGTGTTGTCGGGGGCATGGTGGACTCCATTACCCAAGCCATCAACCAGGTGAGGGGAGCATGGAGAGGACCTGGCCAAGGCTGGGTGGGGGAGAGAGGAAGAGTAAGGGTCAAACCTTACAAGGTAAAGACCTTATGAACCAGAACTAGAGTCAGTCTCCTGATGGTCTCTTGCAGCTGGACGAGGGGCCCGTGGGTGAGCCGGAGGGCACCTTTGTGGACTACCAGACCACAATGGTGAAGACAGCCAAGGCCATCGCTGTGACTGTGCAGGAGATGGTGGGTACAACCAAGCCTATCACTGCAGAATGCACTGCCTGCCACCCAGACAGGCAACCACATTCCTTGCCTTGTCCAACTCTTGCTCTTCTTCCATCAACAGGTCACCAAATCTACCACCAACCCAGACGAGCTGGGCATACTGGCCAATCAACTCACCAATGACTATGGGCAGCTGGCACAAGAGGCCAAGCCAGCTGCCCTCACTGCTGAGAATGAGGAGGTGCGAGCGTGGGAGGAGTGCTGGAGTGGGTTGAGGCAGAGCAGGGGCTGCTGGGGTGTGAGAACAGAGGACAGGGACACTTGAACCTCCCATCGGCGCTGGTGGCAGGCAGCATTCACACCTCCCCTGAAACATGATGTGGAAACATGGAGCAAAGCTGTGTTTCCGTTTTCCCACTCCTGAGTGGGAGGACTGGGAAAGAGGAGCTGGGTGGCTGGTGTTTCCCAGCGGGTGTTTCCCAGCAGATGCAGGGATAAGTTCCCTGCTGACTCTGTCATGCACACGTTCCTCTCCAGATCGGCTCCCACATCAAGCGCCGGGTGCAGGAGCTGGGTCACGGCTGTGCCGCCCTGGTCACCAAGGCTGGAGCCCTGCAGTGCAGCCCCAGTGACGCCTACACCAAGAAGGAGCTGATAGAGAGTGCGCGCAAGGTTTCCGAGAAGGTAGGTGGTCCAGAGGGAGAGGCGACAGCGTGGTGAGTTGCAAGAGGTTCTGGATTGCGCCCTGTGGCCTTGGAGCCACTGTGCTATGTTCTCCCATGGTCCTGTTGGGTTCTGCTGGCTCTCAGCCGTGCTCATCCTGCCCAGCTGAAGGGGTGCAGGATGGATCCCCCTCTCCGGGCACCGTAACAGCAGCTGGTGCTTGTGATGGGTGAGGTGTCCAGGTGCTGCTGACATGCTGATGGCGGCCTGCCAGGAGGGTCTGATCTACACACTGGTGACAGCCCAGGGCTCTCCAAATCAGTGTTGGACAAAGCGTTTGCTGTGTCTCCAGCCAAGCTTGCAGCTCGTGCATTATGTCCATCAGTCAATCTAAAGAGCACTCTTCTGAATAACAGATGAAAACTGTTGCTCTAGTTGATAAAGTAGAGCAGCAGCGCTTATAAGCAAAATCATGAATGCAAAACAAACACTTGTCTGTCGTGCCTGGCATATGCCTGCGTGCTCAGGACCTCCTACAGGTCCTTCATTTCCATGATTGCTTTCTATTAGGAAGCTTGTTCTCCTGTGAGTGATTGCCCAAGAACAGAAAATGAGTTTAACAGCTAAAGAAAGAACAAGTTGTGATGTTCTGATGCCCATTATGCAAATCTTACTCATTTGAAAACTGTGAGAGTTCAGTGTCTCCTAGACCAGCAAACATGATAGGTGCAAGGTAAAAATAAATAACTGGAAGCTAAGAAGGGGTATCCAGATGAAACATTCCCAGTTCCTCTCCTTGGTTTGGAGTGGTTCCGTCCTGGGAGGTGTTGGAGATGAGGGTTCCCTGAACCTGCTCTGCTCCCCTAGTCACTCGTACTTGTACCCCACAGGTTTCTCATGTGCTGGCAGCTCTTCAGGCTGGGAACCGTGGCACACAAGCCTGCATCACAGCGGCCAGTGCTGTCTCTGGCATCATTGCTGACCTCGACACCACCATCATGTTTGCTACAGCAGGAACCCTCAACCGGGAGAACTCGGAGACCTTTGCTGACCACAGGTACCTGGGCACCTTGTTCAGCCTCTGCTCAGCCAGAGACCCCCCCCGTCAGGCTCTGTCATACAGTCTCCTGTCTTTCTGAGTTATGGACCAGCCCCAAGGAGAGCTCCAAGCTCAGGTCACACTAGCTCTGTTTCCCCTCCAGTTTGGACCTACAAAAATAGGGTCCACAGTCTCTCTGTACCCCAAGGACCATTTGTGCAGTTGTCCTCCCTGACTCGCTGCTTCTCCCCAGGGAGGGCATCTTGAAGACAGCCAAGGCGCTTGTGGAGGACACCAAGGTGTTGGTGCAGAATGCCACAGCCAGCCAGGAGAAGCTAGCCCAGGCTGCCCAGTCCTCTGTGACCACCATCACCCGCCTGGCAGAGGTGGTGAAGCTGGGTGCTGCTAGCCTGGGATCTGAAGACCCAGAAACTCAGGTGGGATGGAGTGTGTGGGCTGAGCTGTTAGCTTGCTTGGAGTTGTTGAGGGTTGCAGGTGTCATGTGGTGCTCTGGGCTGGATCCCGTTGTGTTGTGGAGAGGGTGGGCTGGACTTTGGCTGGTGCTGGCTGAGCTGGACTCCCTCTGTGCGCTGTGGTGCCCAAATCTCTCCCTGCTGAGCCACCTGAGTGTGACTGTAGCTAAGCCATTCCCCTGGTCTTGCTCTCCCCAGGTGGTCCTGATCAATGCTGTGAAGGATGTGGCCAAGGCACTTGGGGACCTGATCGGTGCCACCAAGGCAGCTGCTGGCAAAGCTGGGGATGACCCTGCTGTCTACCAGCTGAAGAACTCTGCCAAGGTCTGTGCTGGGCTTGACGGGAGGAAGGGGATGAGGGAGTGGGGCTGGAGAAAGAGCAGGAGAATTTTCTGCCTGTCTGGTGGCAGGAGCACAACTTGGGTGCAGTCAGGACAAAAGAGGAGGAAGGGGCACATAAAAGGTGGGATACAGCATGTGGAGCAGACATTGGTGGGAAAACAAGATGAGGCAGTGTGAGTGGAGTGTGGGGACAGGGCCATTTTGGACCAAATCACAAGAAAGGGACAGGTGCCAGCAGCAGGCCAGAGTGGGGATTCACCCAGTTCTCTTTTTTTCTTCCACAGGTTATGGTGACAAATGTCACTTCCTTGCTGAAGACAGTAAAGGCTGTGGAGGACGAGGCCACAAAGGGGACACGGGCGCTGGAGGCCACGATAGAGCACATACGCCAGGAGCTGGCAGTGAGTAACAGCCAGAACTGGCCATAAGTGACAGCCAGAACTGGCAGTGACTAATAGCCAGAGCTGGCCACGAGTAACAGGCACGCGCTGTGGCTGCCACCCTGCTGTGCCGCTGCCCTGTGTCTCACTGCCACCTCTCCCCTCCAAGGTGTTCTCCTCCCCGGTGCCTCCTGCCAAGGTCTCCACCCCAGAGGACTTCATCCGCATGACAAAAGGCATCACGATGGCCACGGCCAAAGCAGTGGCCGCTGGCAACTCCTGTCGGCAGGAGGATGTCATCGCCACGGCCAACCTGAGCCGCCGCGCCATCGCGGACATGCTGCGCGCCTGCAAGGTGGGGCGGGCAGGGGGTGTGGGTCTAGTGTGGGTTTGTGGGTGCCAGCAGGCATGGTGCTGGATGTGTCCCTGTCTCTGGGTTTCAGGAAGCAGCCTACCACCCGGAGGTGAGCGGGGACGTGCGGCAGCGGGCGCTGCGCTTTGGCAAGGAGTGTGCTGACGGCTACCTGGAGCTGCTGGAGCACGTGCTGGTGGTAAGTGTCCCCGTCCCAGTTCCCACGGTGGGCAGAGGCTGACTGTGTGTTCCCCAAATCCCCAAGGTCCTCTGGGCTCTTCACCTCCTCCCCCTGACATCTTTGCACAGCCTCCTTCTTTACTGCCTGTGCTGGCACAGCATGTGGCTGAGCCCCTGCCATGGAAGCAGATGTCAGAGAGCTCAACAGGCTCTGAAGAAAGGTATTTGTCTAACAACAGATGGAGATTAACTGGCTGTAAACAGATGGAGGCTGAAAATTCACCAACATGGTAGCAAAATCCTGTAAAAGTGCAGCTTCCAGTAAAAGTGGTGGGAGTAAAAGATTTCAGGCAGTGGGAAAATAAAGCTTGTTAGTTCACAGCAGTGTAGGAGACGGGCATGTGTGGGAGATGGGCATGTGTGGGACACAGGCAGTGCCTGCAGTGGCAGCTATTACGACTACAAGCACACTGTTGATCCAGTCGTCCTCTGACTGATTCCTCCCAAGGACTTCAGCTGCAACATTAGTTTACAAGAAGCAAATTAAGACTCTAGCAGAAAAGAAAGGTAGAGAAGATCCAGTGAGATCCTTCCAGCAGTTTGCATTCTTGGCAAGATCACAGAAGTGGAGTTGGGCACTGTGGGGTTGCGCATACCCAGCCCATGGAGCTGTCACATCCCTCCCTTTGTCCGGGGTCAGGACAAAGAGGGAGGGCGAGTCAGCTCCATGTCAAGGTTTCACTAAGCTGGTTAGTGAGAGTCCAGGTTCACCAGATGCAAGGTGATGGAGCCCAAACTGTGGTTTCCTGCAGGGAAAGCCCCTTTCGGATGAGGATAACCAGCTCTGGCAGCAGAAGGAGGAGCTGGGCAGGAATCGATGGCTAGAAATGGAAGCTGAGCAGAGAAGTCAAAGGGTGGTTTTATTCAAGGGAGGTAACCACTGGGGTACAGTTTCAAGGGGAGCAGTGAGTTTTCCGTCCCCTGCATCTAGATCAGATGTCTTTCTGGAAGATGCTTCAGGCACATGTGAATCATGGCAGCCAAGGCTGGAGTGCTGAGCAGAAATTCTCTGGCTGACCTGTTGTTAACAGATGATTAGGCTAATGACTTAGTGTGGCAGTGCCCAAGGTCAGTCTGCTTGCAGGAACATGCCATTTTCCCTGTATTTTGGGTGTTACCGTCCTGCTGCCATGCAATGTTTTGAGTATCATACATTCGTACATCCCTCAAAAAGTTCACTGGACGTGCATCTTAGTCAGCTCGTAGCCTCTGGGGTGCCTTCAGCTCCAGACAGAGACCATTTAGCAGTTTTAAACATGTTGTCAGAGCAGACAGCAGACTTAATAATCTGTCATTTAGTCTGGATATGCTTATGAGGGCAAACTGTGTCATCTGCTTGGGTACTCCGAGCCACATGCAGCTGTGAAGACTTTACTGGAATGGCCCCATGCAAGTCCAGGATAAAGCCATGACTCCCCCAGCCTCCAGAGCACCCTGGTCTGCGAAGGCAGGAATGGAGCTCATGGGTCCTGTTTATCAGAGGACAGCAGGCTCCTGGAAAGCCACAAGCAGGAAGGATCTAGGGGAGTGGGAGGGGAAATGGCAGATGTGGTGCTGCCTCATTCCCCAGCAGCAGCAAGTTCATTGCTGTGTCCCCAAGGCACCCAGTGTCTTCCATGGAGCATGAATAAGCATGGTCAGGGTTCAAGAATGAGGGTTATTTGGCTCGGACTGGGAAACATGGCTCCCGGCAGAGGAGTGGGAAAGCCTGCATATTTCACTGGGGAGGGGAAGGAATTTGAACCTCCATGGGGACTTGGTATTTGGTAACAATAGGTCTCTCCCCCCGAAAGCAGAGATCCAGTGGCTGAAAACTGCAGTGAAGCAACTCAGAGTGGGGAGAAATGAGATGTAAAGGGGGTGAGGAGGAGACCTCTGAGTGTAGGTGGCTCCTCCAGCCATGGGAGCCTCATCCAGGTGCCCCACCTTGCCTATCCCTGTAAGGCTGAAGTATGAGCTGATGATGGCAGCACAGCTCCCCACCCAGGATCTCTGATCCTTCGTTCCTACCTCTCCTTTTGGCTGCCCTTCACCCCTCACTGAAGAGCACCCACTTTCCCCTGCCCTCCCCATGCCACAGCCCCAAGCGCCCGCGTGTCCTGGCTGGGGCATTCACTGCTTTCTTTTCTCTCTTCTCCCTCCCTCCTTTATCAGCCGGTGAGTAAGGCAGCGTTGGGGTGCCTGCTGGTCTCTAACCTCAGCATGAGCCTTGCTCACGGCTTGTCTGTGTGCCCAGCCCAGTGCTGGGGTGGCACTTGGCGTGTGTCCACAGGGACCCCGTGTCCATGTGTTTGTGTGTGTGTACTCACACCTGCTCTAGCTGATGGGCAGCTGATGCCTGTGGGGTGCTAGTCGGGCCAGCAGTGAGCTCTGCTTGTTTGTACAGACCCCATGTGTATGCACACATGTGCTGTGGTGTGTGCATGTGTCCCCATGAGCCGAGTGAAGGACCCTTACGGCACTGTCTGCCACCTTGTCCCAATGGGGCCATCCCTCTGGGGCTGGGACGTGGCTCCAGGGTATCCCCCTTTACCCAGCTTGTGTTTGCAGACAAATCTCAAAAATGGAGGGGTGGGGGGAAGTGCTTCTGGAGCTTGAAGTGATTTGCAGGAGAGAAGTCTTGGAGTGGGTAACTGCTGAATGCAGGAAGGCTCGTGCTGAGGGTCTTGTGTCTGCGAGATGTCCCAAAAACTGAGGATGCAGAAAGGCCATGGCGAAGCTCATTCCATCCTGGAGCAGCAAGACAATAGCCAGGGTCACTCAACCAAGCATCTCAGACAGTGCCTGATGTGTACAGATGTGGGAGGGGGCTGGGGGATCCCACCCTCCTTCCCTGGGGAGTGCACCCCAAACAGCCCTATGAAGTCCCCTTTTTCCAGGTGCTTACATCTGCTCCTTCCCCACAGATCCTGCAGAAGCCGACTCACGAGCTGAAGCAGCAGCTGGCAGGCTACTCCAAGCGTGTGGCTAGCTCCGTCACCGAGCTCATCCAGGCAGCCGAGGCCATGAAAGGTAAGGAAAGATCCTGCTCAAAGGGGCAGGACCGAGGGCTGGGATTAGGGTGGAAGGCTCAGCAGCTGACAAAGGAGGTAGGTGAGTCAGAAATGGGGCTGCACACAGGTGTAACCTGCCTTGCTTCCCGGTGTTCCTAGGGACAGAGTGGGTTGACCCAGAAGACCCCACTGTCATCGCTGAGAATGAGTTGCTGGGGGCAGCAGCTGCCATTGAGGCTGCAGCCAAGAAGCTGGAGCAGCTGAAGCCAAGAGCCAAGCCCAAGGTAACAGTGCTGAGCCTTGTCTGACCCTGCTCAGCTTGGGGTGGGCTGGGGCTCTCCTGCCTGTGCTTCAGCCAGGTTTGAAGCCCCATCTGACGGCTGGTCTCTCTTCCTGTACTCCCACTGCCTCCCACATCCCCAGCTGGACCGTCCTCAGGCAGCCCACGCCCTGCTGCACCCCACAGGCCTTAATCCAGCTTTGTATGTGCCCACTCAGCCCCCTGCAGCCGTCATCCTGCTCTGCTCCGTCTGTCCCAGCACCCCTGCCTAGGACTCACACTCTGCTTTTGCCTACAGCAAGCGGACGAGAGCCTGAACTTCGAGGAGCAGATCCTGGAAGCTGCCAAGTCCATTGCTGCAGCCACAAGCGCCCTGGTGAAGGCAGCCTCAGCAGCCCAGCGGGAATTAGTGGCCCAAGGAAAAGTAAGGCCATAAGAGGGGAAGAAATGACAAAATGTATGGCTGTGGTGGGTTCTCCCTCCTCCTGGGGCTGCCTGTAACCCTCATGCCCCATGACAAGAGGTGCACAGAGTGCTGAGCTTCAATCCTCTCCTTCCTTACAGGTGGGTGCCATCCCAGCCAACGCAGTGGATGATGGACAGTGGTCCCAGGGTCTCATTTCAGCTGTGAGTATCAAGGTCATGCTCAGGAGTTGAGGGGGACCTTCCTCTTGGCTCCTGCTGCAAAGATGAGGATGCTCTGCCCTTGTGCTTTTCCTCTGTGGGAGAGGCAGCTGTGCTTCTTGCTCCCTCTCCCACCTGCTGAGACATGGCGTGGAGGCTGCTTCTTGCCATCCCATGAGGCACAACCTCCTTGAGGCCGCTCAGGGCTCCTGCACCCCCTCTGACAGCCTCTCTCCCCACAGGCACGCATGGTGGCTGCTGCCACCAACAACCTGTGCGAGGCTGCCAATGCGGCGGTGCAGGGCCATGCCAGCGAGGAGAAGCTCATCTCATCCGCCAAGCAGGTGGCTGCCTCCACAGCCCAGCTCCTGGTGGCCTGCAAGGTGAAGGCTGACCATGACTCAGAGGCCATGAAGCGGCTCCAGGTGAGTCCCAGGCTGCCCCTCCAGCCCCACCTGCCTCCTCCCAGTTGCTTGAGGATGGGAGTGGAGTGTGGGTGCTCTCCAGGGCTCATGTTCCCTCCCTGTGTGCCATCAACAGTGGGTTCATAGGCTCCAGGTTGCTTGGACTTGACTGCTGGCTGCATGCCAGATGTGTGAGTGATGCTGGGCTGCTCAGCCTGGCAGCATTCAGGGATGATCAACTGGCACAGGAATGCCTGAAGTGGGTGCCCTGCATCACTGGCATTTGAGAGGTTAATGTTTGGGGGTAATGTTTTGTAGCACTCTTAACTGTCAGAGGCCCTGGCTCACAAGAGGTTAATGCCTGTGCATTTAGGGGTTAACGTGGGGTCTCAGCACCTCTGGAGCCAAAGGCTGGGGAGAGTCAGCAGGGCTGCCTCCAAATCCCTGCCCCATTGCTCAGACAAGAGCCAGAGCCTGGCTGGGAGCAGCAGAGCCTGAAATGGTCATGAGCGGGTGACAAGGCAGCGAGCCATGTAAAGGAATCCTTGCCTGCAGCTCCCAGCACTCCTGGCTTCCCGTCCTGCCTGCTGGCCCAGCCCGGGGCAGGAGTTCTTTCACACCCCCTGGCAGCAGTCATACCCTGGGGCTGTGACTGATGCTGGCACTCCCCACTTTGCTGTGCAGGCTGCCGGCAATGCTGTCAAGAGAGCGTCGGACAATCTGGTGAAGGCAGCGCAGAAGGCAGCTGCCTTCCAGGACCACGATGAAACGGTGGTGGTGAAGGAGAAGATGGTCGGTGGAATTGCACAGGTGAGGAGCAGGGCTGCTCCAGTAGGACAGGAGCAGCTCTGGGTGTCATCACAAGCTGTGTGTGCCTGTCTCAGGAGCATGTCCTACCACCCATCACCGTGGGTCATGTCTCCAGAGAGCCTCACAAAAATGCTGTGGATGCACGCCTCCCACCCAGCACCAGTCAAACAATGTGGCTTCACCTTGTCCTGACACGAGTAGCAGAGGGTGATGGTGCACACTCCCTGGAGTGTAATGCTATGGCTTCTCCCTGGTGCAGCACTCACACTACCCCAGTGTCTGTGACACATGTGAAAGGCAGAGCATTGAGTAAGGGATGAGACCTGCCTGCTATTGGGTGCCAGAGGTCCCAGTGCTGCCTCTGTGCAGCTGAGATCCTCTACAGGGCACAGGGGGCTGAGCCCTGAAAGCTGTGCTGTTCTGGAGTGCCCTCTGGAGTACCATGCTTCCACCCAAGGGACAACAGCCCTCGTGCCCAAGGAGGCTGTGGCTGTGATGGGAGGGAAGCAGCAGCCAAAGAACCTGGCTCGGGGATTGGCATGGCTGGGGCAGAAGCTCCGGCCATCCCTGTGGAAGGGCAGCTGTGACCCCCGGGCTCTCTCCCGTCAGATCATTGCCGCCCAGGAGGAGATGCTGCGCAAGGAGCGGGAGCTGGAGGAGGCACGGAAGAAGCTGGCGATGATCCGGCAGCAGCAGTACAAGTTCCTGCCCTCGGAGCTGCGGGACGAGGAGCAGAACTGAGCCGCACACCCTCCCGCCCACCGCACAGACTGCTGCCCGCCCGCCTGCCCGCTCCTATTTAAGACGAACCGCCTCAAGCGAAGGGCTGCCTGGGCTAGACCAGAGCTCTGCCCGCACCCACGGCAACGGGACTAACCCAGCTGCCCCTCCAAGCCGGTGCCGCACCAGCAACTCCGCTTTGCTGCCCAGCCCACCTTCCCACGCACACCCAAGGCACAATCAGAGCGCTCGGAGGGACTCGGGGTGGGAGCCGGGGCTGCACTGGCTCAGGGCTCACCTGCCAGCCCCGGGGTTTGGGCCCACAGAGCTCTCCACTGCAAGGGGATATTTACTTGTGCCTTCCTCATTCCCATTTGTGCCCCTTTCCTCTCTCTCTCTTCCGTGCGGGATGGGGAGCAGCGGGCGGCCAGCCCTCTCCTGTGCGATGGTGTGCAGGGAGCAGCATGGTCTGTCGCTGAGCTCCGGCGCAGAGCTGCCTTTCACCTCCAATGCCTTATTGCTGGCTGAACCTTCCTCTTCAGTTTCCCTGGGAGGCACGGAGGCTCCCCCACGAGCATCCTCTTCAGCCCGAGCCCCTCTGGGGAGCAGCAGGGCTGGAAGCCACAGTGCCTCTGCTCAGGATGGGGGGTGATGAGATGAGTTCACCCCTAGAGCTGTTCTCTGCCTTCCCGTGGAGCTTCTCCCCGCCCATGGCCCCAGCCAGCTCTGCCTTCCTTCTTCTTCCCAAGTGCCTGCATTGTTTTCCAAGATCTACAGTATTTTTGTAACTTTTCCATTTCTTTAGTATTGAGCCTGCAGCTTTCAAAGTTCATATATTTCCCTGCCAGCTTGTGCCCTGCCCACTAACACCCAGCTCTCGCCGGGGTCCCGTAGCCCAGTATCCCACCCCTCCTCGGCTCCGGGACCCCCGTCCCTTCCCCTTTGCACTTGCTGAGTCTTCTCTCACTATTTTGATACTTTAAGCATCCCATATTAAACACTGAAGGAAACCAGCACCCCCCCAAGCCTCCGGGGTGGGGTGGGGGTTGCCAGTGTCTCCTCGGAAAGATGCATTCATCAATAAAATCTGGTTTTCCTGCATTACTGCCAGTTGGGTACGAACGAGACCCCCCAGAAGACGGGGAGAGCAGGGGGGCCATAGACGCCTGCCCTCACAGCAAAGGCAGGGGGGAGTGTACCACGGGTGCTTATACAGCATGGAAAATATTTGAGGCACGTCCAGCCCCAGGCACCCGGCAGGCTGGACCCCCGCTGCCAGCCATGTGCCGGCCTCGCAGGTGCTGCCGGGGGGCCACCACCACAGGAGGGGGCCCTGGGGATTTTGTTTCTGGGGGATTTGGGCTTCAGGGAAGGCAGGGGGGTGGAGGAGGTGTGTGTGAGTAGAGCTGGGCTTCTGGCCCCATTCCTGCTGCCAGCTGAATATACCCTTGAGTAGGGTTATAGGGGTGCAGGTGGGGGACCCCCAATCCCCAGTCACTGGTGGCCCATGGACCTCCACTGGGGAGGCAGCAGTCTTTGGCATGGTGTGGGTCTGGGAATGTGGCTGGAGCCCTCCCGGCTGCCGGCAGTGAGCTCACGCCCCAAAATAGCCCCCTGGGGCCAACCTGTGCGGGCAGCAGCTGCCCCAGCGTGTCCCCACCTGTTCCCACCCCATCACTCAGCAGAGATTCGGGGGGCCCGCGCAGTGGCAGGGCAGGCAGGGATGCTGTGGGGTGCAGCGGGGACGTGGGCAGGGTGGCACATGTCCCCTGCCTCTGGGACCTGCTCCTAGCAGTGTGAGCCACAGGCATCATCAGTGGCAAGGGCAGCATCCCACAGTGTCCCAGCCAGTGACCCCTGTCTCCTTGTGGGCATGTCCTTGGGGGTGTGGAGGGGCTGTTCCCGCTGAGACACTCACCCCTGGCCAGGCTCCAGGGTGGATTTGTGGCTCTCTCAGGCATCCCAGTCCTCCCAGCTGTCCCCTGACAATCTGTGCTGGCCTGACCCGGCACCAGGCTCTCACCCAGGTACTGGCTGAGCATGGGGCCCTTCTGAGCAGCCAGCAAGGACACTGAGGGGGCAGAGCGCGACAGCAGCCCCAGCCTCATCCTGGCATCCTGGGGTCAAGGGAGCTCCAGCACCACTGGCACAGCACTGCAAGGACATCCCCTGCCATGTTCTCCAGTTTGGGTGCAAGCAAGGGGTGGTGACACAAACACCAGGGGAGGGACATGGGGTGTGATTAACCCCCCATCCTCTAAATCCCACGCATCAATCAAGGGGTTATTTTGGTAGGCAGGTTAAGGCAAGGACGTGCAGAGATTTGGAGCTGGGATGACACAGTCAGGAAGTGCCAGAGCCTCTGCAGGAACCCAAATCCAGCTAAGTTGAAGGTGAATGGGGAAGCCATCTCCCAACTTCTTGGGGAGTCCAGGGATGGGGTGAGAGGCTGCAGCATGGATTGCACCTGGGAAGGTCCCATGAGTTGTCAGGATAAGCCTTTCCCTGGGAGTAAGGTCAGACTCTAGAGTGAAGCATAGAGGTAATCACCATCCTTGGAGACCTTAGCCCAGGACAAGCCTGGGCATGGGGCAGCAATGTGAGGGATGTGCACACACACCCTCTGCACCCCCTTGACCCAGAGGTTACCCCCGAGGATGGGCTTAAAGCCAGACCTGTGGGCCTCTGCACCTGGGTGGTTCCAGCTGCATCGTCAGACATGACTATGACACCTGGAGCCAAGGGAAGGGGGCAGCAAGGGAAAACAGCATCCTTTAGGGGCACACCTGAGGGCTGGCCTGGTTCCAGGGCAATTTCCTAGCTGCTTGCACCATGTCTATCATTGTCTTTCCCCCATGGGCTGAGCCCACGAAGTTCCTCCAGACTGAAACATCTCACAGAAAAGCAACTATTCTCTCCCGGGAATGATGGGAGACGGATCTTTCCCCTCCCCTTAGAAGCTGCATGCTGGCAGTTACAGATTCTCCTTGTCCAAATATGTGCCTAATTCATCAGTACTGATAGCTGTTCTCCAGAGTCCAGCAGTGGCTCTTCTCCTTTCCCCATGGAACCAGCAGCCCCTTGGTCCTTGGCTGCTCCCATCCCTCCAACCTACCCCCACCATCTGGGCCTGAGGGCTCCTAGAAAGCCACTTTCTCCAGCTCCAAAAATTTCTGCTCCTCTCTGCTTGGAGCACTGGTGCCGAAAAGTTGCATCAGCCAAGGGTTGGCTGTGGCCCAGGGGCAATGGGCTGGGGGAGCCTGTGCACCCCTCATGTCCCCATCCCATCCGAGCCTGCCCACGTGCCACACAGCTCTCGTGGCCCCTCCGCCAGCTCCTTCCAACCCCCCCGACCCAGAGCCTATCCTGCAGCTGGGAATGTGCCAGAAGCATTTATGATCGTTATTAAAGCACAGGTTATTTTTGGAGGAGCTGGGATTTGAACGGTTTGCATTTTTTTGCCTGTGGAATACAGTTTATTTAGAGCAGAAAGATGAAGAGGGGCAGCGAGCTGCCCACATGCCCTGTGCCACCCTGAAATGTTACCCTATAGGCTGTGTGTGTGCCAGGTGTCCCTGAGAGTGCCAGGGACGGTGGCACCAAAGTGCAAGGCAGCAGGGAGGTGGGTGCTGAGAAGTCTACACAGAGCTGGGGCCCTCTTGCCCCACCAGCAGCTGGATGGGGATGTCAGGGGTTCCACTCAGTTCTCTCCTGGGGGATTTTCCCCATGTGGGTAATGCCTGTCCACTGTGTCCCTCAGTGCAATCATAGCCCGTGATTGCCCCTGAGTGCAGTAACAACCTAAGTGTGTCCCCAGGACTTCAGTGCCTGATATTCCCAAGTGCCTTGCCAGCCCTTGAGGTGCCCCCAAACCAGTGCCAGCAAGCAAGGTCCCTCAGGCCCCATATGGCAGTGACTGGGCATGTGGTGTACCTGTGACAGTGTCAGCCTTGTGATGTCCCCTAGCGTGGGGACAGCTTTGACTGGAGTCAGTGCCACGGGGGTACCCCTAGCTCGGTGCCCGAGGGTGTCCCTTGCTCGGTGCCACTGGGGTTCCCGTGGCACAGCGCTACGGAGTGTCCCTCAGCCAGTATCACTGGGGTATCCCTAGGGCATCGCCCCGGTGTGTGACCGCCCAGTGCCACCGGGGTACCCACAGCACGGTGACCGGGGGTGCCCGGGGCCGGGGCCGCGGCGATGCCCTCCGGGGGTGTTGCCCCCCCGTTCCGCTCGGTGCAAGGGCCAGTGGCGAGCCTGTCCCTAAAAGGTGCTGGCGGGCGGCGGGGGAGGCGCCGGGGCCGACCCTGCCCAGCTCGGCCCCTCCCCAGCTTTTAGAGGGCGCGACGGGGCGGGGAGAGCAGTGCCGGTGGTCCCGTCGCTCCCGGTGCTCCCGCCGCTCTCGGTGCTCCGCGTCCCGCTGCCGTCCCGCGCCCCGCCGCCGACCCACCGCCACCATGGAGGCCATCAAGAAGAAGATGCAGATGCTGAAACTGGACAAGGAGAACGCCATCGACCGCGCCGAGCAAGCGGAGGCTGACAAGAAGCAGGCGGAGGACCGCTGCAAGCAGGTGGGTGTCCCACGAGCTTCTCTGGCATTGCCTCGGGACCCTTCGCTCTAGGGGTGGCCAGCCCAGGGGACCCCATTCTGCTGGGTGTCAAGCCCAGAGCCCCTCTGCCCTAAGGGTGTCCAGCCCTGGAGACCCTGTCCTGCTGGATGCCCAGCCCTGGGGACCCCATCCCTCTGACTGTCCAGCCTACAGATCCTCCAACCAGCCCCAGAGACTTCCCCACAATGGTTGTCCAGCCTGGAGTCCCCTGTCCTAAGGAAGTCCTGCCCCAAGCACCTTGCCCCACTGGGTGTCCTGCTTGTGGATCCCAGCTCTTGGGATTGCCAGCCTAAAGACCTCACTTCACGGGGACCCCATCCCCAGGGGCCTCACCCCCTGTCAGCCTGTCCCCAGGGAGGAGCACTTCAATCCATTTTCCCTGAGCCCTCACACTGGTCCCCCCATACACACCTTATCTCAGTAGGACATCCCAGTGCCACCTCTCTATCCCTGTGCCAGGGAGAAACCTGGGGACTGCAGACTCCCACTCGAATGACACAGACATGGGGGCACAGATTGGTGTCCCTCAGAGCTCTGTCCCCAAGTCAGGAGCTCTCCAGCCCCCTATACAGGGAGGGAGACCACCACCCCCTTACACCCGTCAGGCTCAGGCGTGGTGGGGGCCGCTCTACTCCAAGAGCATTCGGAGGACTTGTAGATCTAAAGCGGGCAGAGGGAGCATGTTCATGTGCTCCTGCTGTGCCCCCCCACCCTGGGTGTCCCCAGGAGGAGGATGGGTGTCCCCAGGAGGAGGGTGGCCATCCCCTTCCAGCCTTGCAGACACCGCTGTCCACCCTGACCCTTATCCTTTATCCTTTCCCCAGCTGGAGGAGGAACAGCAGGGCCTGCAGAAGAAACTGAAGGGCACTGAGGATGAGGTGGAGAAGTATTCTGAGTCTGTCAAGGAGGCCCAGGAGAAGTTAGAGCAGGCAGAGAAGAAAGCTACAGATGTAAGTAGGCACGCCAGCAACTCCTCCCCCTGGGCGCTGGACCTCGGCGGGAGGGGGGGGGCGGCGGTTAAAGGAAGAGGGGGCCCTTATATGGAAAGCGTCCGAGGGAAGACTGTCAGGATCCCATTCCTGCGATGCTGACACTGAACCGGACTGATGGGTCCTGTGGGGGGTGTAGGGGCCAGGCCAGCTGTGGTGGGCAGTGCTGGAGTGGTTGATTTTGTCTGGAGCTTTATGGGCAGCCGACAGCCTGGCCCCCTAAAGCTAACAGGGACAAGTGTCCGGACCTGTCACAGGTCGCCAGGCACGCACCTCCACAATGCTCTTAGGAAAACTGGGGGGGCTTAACAAACAGTGGCAGAGCAGGGAAATGGAAAAATCTCTTGCTATGCTTAGCTGCTGAGTGCTGGCTGCAAGGAAGAATGCTTGGGGTGCAGGGAAGGGGACTTTGGGTGGGATGTGGGTGCGTGGATTTGGGGTCCAGCGTGCCACCTTGTACCCTGAGAAGGGCAAGGCCAGGAAGAGTTTTATTTAGTGCCATGACTGATGTTTCTCCTGGGAAATAGATCCCTTTGGGGAGATGTTAGGAAGGTGTTGAAATTGGCTTGTGCCTGGCCAGGATGAAGGGTGGAACAGCTGTGTGCAGCCACGGGGCCGCTCAGGAATGGGGTATAACGACCTGTGGTGCCACACAGGGTATTTGACACCCTATAAATAAATCCTCCTTTTGATAGCCAGCCCTTCTTTGATGAAAACCAACCCTGGAAACTGAAGGAGAAGCTAAAGGAGAGCCATCTGGAGCACAGCCAGCAGGACATGGCCAGGCTTTTTAGGATTGAGAACAAAAAAATTCATTCCCAGCTGGTTTATGGAGCTAAGTGGGGGAGATGTGTCAAATCTCTGAGGTGGTCACCAAGGACAGGGGTGGCCAGATAAGGACAAGCAGTGGCAACACAAATCCCTGTGGCAGCCCAGAGGCCCTGGGTGCTCCCCAGACTTGTTTACTGATCCAGCAGAGCTGCCCTGGTTAGATACTAAACAACGTAGTCAAAACATCAAAAATCTTCTGAAAGGGCACATTTATCCTGGAATGGGGCAGGCATGTCAAGCTGGGCAGGGTGGCTGCTGTGTGCAGTAGGGTTCACACTGGACTGATTGGATCTGTGCTGATGTGGGACAGGGAAAACTCAGTGTGGCTGAGAGTGGATGGGATGTTTTCAGTATGCGGCTCCGAGGAAGGGTCAAACAGTGTCAGCTGTGGGGTGCAGAGTGATTTCCTGCTGACAATGCCATCCTGGGTGGGGAAGGTGTGTTTCCCTACTCTTGGTCCACAGTGGCTGGGCAAGTCTGTGGGCTTCGACATGGAGAATCCCATACCAGCAGATACAGTGGACAGAAGCCACCAACCACTCCAGGGAAGGGCCAGAGCAGGAGACATGGTGAAGAAGGAGTGTCAGGCTGCAGGCTGGCTGCAGCAGGACTGGGGCTCTATCACCAGCACAGCCACCCCAGGTCCATGCCAAAGCCTAGATAGGTTGCACCATGTGTGGGGCTCTGAGAGTCACCAGGTCCCTGAGCCAGGGACCTGAATGTGCTGACAGCTCTAAGTGCCAGGGCTGGTGTCATCTCCCTGGTGTGAGGCGCAGAATGGCTCCTGGCTCCAGCAGAGGAAGCACCAGGCAGATCCCTGGAGCTCACCCATCAGTCTCCCCCTGGCTGCTAGGGCAGTATTTGCCTGTGTACCTATCAGTGCACCTAGGTCAGGGCCCACACCAGTGATCCAGGCAGCCTCCTGACCTTTGCTAAAAGGTCAATACCTTAAAAGAATAAACACCTGCCCCGCTCCAGCACTGTCCTGACACTGGCACTGGATGGCAGTGTATGAAGGCCATGGGGATTGCACTAAGGAGTGCAAATATGATGCCCCAGGCACTTCAAGAGGGGTCAGATGGTGGCACAGAGCAGGGAGTTCCTGACTCCTGATCAGCAGCTCCACAGTGCTGACAGCCCCCGTCCAGCAGCTCTGCGAGGCCACTGTGGTCCCATCGCCTCTTGTCCCCCAGAGGGACAGCCTGTGGTGCCCAGGTCAAGATGCAGGCAAGGGCTGCTGGACACAGTGCAGCTGAGACAGTGGGTTTAGCCAGAACAGCTCCCTCCATCCCCCCTCATTCTCAGCAGTGGCCTGTCCCCAGCCACCCCAGAGGAGCCTAGGGAAACTCCACCATTCCCAGGCCATGATCCCGAAAGCTTCACCCATGTTCCCGCCCCAGCTGCTCTCCCTGGCCAAGACTTTGCTCTTATTTGGTGATTCCCCGAGCTGGTGGGAGGGAACGGGACTCTGCTGGGAAGTGACTCTGCATCTCGGGGTGGGGCCACAGCGGGAGGCACCTAGCCTGGCCACTGCGGGACCAGGGTGGCTGCCCCCCAGTCTGTCCCCCACATGCCTGCAGCCAGCTCATCTCTACCCCACTGTTGCCAGGAATCCTTGTTTCTGCTCTGGGCCCTGTGCCCCAGCTTGGGAGCACTCTTGGCACCCAGGCATCAGACTGGGAACAGGGCAGGATCAGCTGGGACCAAGGCCAAACCCATGGCCAAGCCCAAGGCCATGTGCTCCTAGGGGACAGTATTGCCTCTTCCAGTGCTGCTTGGCAAGGGGACACAGAGCTGCGGGGCACAGATAGCAGTGTGGCTGGGTCACCCCCAGGACCCCTGGCCCTGGAGCTGATGGCAGATGGTGGGGTCATCCTGGGAACTGGCATCCCTGGACATCCCTGGAGGCAGGTGTGAAGTGCAGTCAGGGCTGCCTGGGAGCTGTCAGAGCTTCTTAAGGGAGGATTGAGTGCCAGCTAGGCTTCTCCTGATGGATCAAGACATGTGTGTGCCCCAGCTGGGATGGAATGCCAGGAGCTGGGGGACTGGCCTGCCCTGGAGGACATAGCCCCCAGGGCAGCTGGGATGTGCAGGGGCCTCCATGTGACCCATGGAACTCTGTAGGGCTGCCAGCCAGGTCCTCACTTGACGAAGCAGATGCCAAGGGACTGAACAGGATGGATGTTGGGGACCTGGCTGCAGCCCCAGGTACTGCTGGAGGACAACCTGGAGCAGGTGCTGCTCTTACTGACTTCCTGTATGGAAAAGTCCATGACCCTCCTCAGCTCTGCAGCAAGGAGTGCAGAGGGAGCACCCATGGATACACTGCTCCTGTGGCTGTGGGGGCTCAGGGGTCAGACTCCAGCACTCACAGACTCTCAGGACTTCTGGAAACATTTGAGTCCATTTTCCTGGGGTCCTCTTCATCGCTCTGGAGGATTTCAGCGGGACTGTACATCCCTGGCAGGGGGGCACCATACACCCTGGGCACCATACAACCTGGACACCATACAGCCAGGACTGCGTGTCCTGGCTGGGTGTACCGTGTGTCCTGCCAGTGGGAACTGTGCATCTGCCCGGGAGGATGTGTGCTGCCCCCGGCTGAGGGGACACTGTGCCCTGTCTAGAAGCCGCTGTGCATCTTGCCTCGGCGAGGGGTGTAAAGACAGTGACTCCTGCCTGGGGAGGACCACGCGTCCTGCCAGGGGGTCCTCCCTATGTCCTGTTTGGGATGAGGGGCACTGCGCACCCATCCCGTTGTGGGAACTGTTCCCTGCCGGGGGTGGGCACCGGTGCCCTGCCCAGGGGAGCGGCACCGCAGGTCTGTCGGAGACAGCAGCAGGAGGACGAGGAGGAGGAGGAGGAGGAGGAGCAGGAAGGGATGGAGGCAGGGCGGGCGGCGGGAGCGGCCGCTGCCTGAGCGCTTCCTGCCCGAGAAGGGCGGATCCCACAAAGGGCTCGGCGGTGTGGCCTCCCCGCCGGCAGCCCCCGCCATGGCCAGCGCCAGCTCCATCGACGCCGTCAAAAAGAAGATCCAGAGCCTGCAGCAGGTGGCTGACGAGGCGGAAGAACGCGCCGAGCACCTGCAGCGGGACTACCATATCGAGCGGCAGGCCCGGGAGCGGGTAAGGGCCGCCGGGATGAAAAGGGGGCGCGGCGGAGCGGGGGGCGCTCCGGCGGCTCCCCGGGATGCCCCACTGGCTCCGGCCCCGCTGCCAGCATCCCTCCCGGCGGGCCGACCCCGGCCCCCCGCGCCCCTCGCCCCGGTAGCCGGGCTGGCTGCCCCCGGGGCGGAGCGGAGCGCGGCGCCAGGAGCTTTCAGGGGAGCCGGGGGGAGCTGCCACCCAGCTGGCGAGAGCCCCCGGGGCAGGGGACTTGGGGCAGCCTCCTCCAGCCGCCTCCCTCCTCCGTGGGTCTTGCGCCAGAGAGATGCTGCGTGCGGGGCTCCCCGGGGCTTCCCGGCTGGCTGGGCGCTGGGAGCGGCAGCGGCAAGCCCTGCCTTGGCTCTTCCTGGGGTCGGGCGCATCCTGGGAAAGGATCCTCTCCCTCGCAGGCTCTCGTGCACAGCTCAGAATCCCATGCCCAGGATCTTGTCTGGCTTCCAGCGAGCTTTGCGGTCCGGGCCGCGGTAGTCGGACAGCCTTTATCTCTCTAGCCTGTCCCTTCGTGGGGACAAGCCACCCCTTCACACGGCCACTCTGGCAACGGGATGGCATTTCCAAGCGGCAGCTTGTTCCTGCTTTGGCTTTTTAGTTGTTGGGGCTTTCTGTTTTCTTCCTTTCATTTTGTTTCCTATGCCCACTCATTCTACATTCTCACCATATCAGGAACGGCAGAGCTGGGTGCGGTACCCAGGTTGTTGTCACTCGGGCTGTGTGCGGAGGAAATGGCCCCTTCCTGCAGCCACAGATCGGGTTCCCCGGTCTGGGAGCTGCCGGAGAGCTCATGTTCCCCAGTGTCCATCCGGGCAGCTCTTGACCCACTTTGGGGGTGATTCCCTGGGAAATAAAGGCTCCCGACGAGGGGAGGGTGATGCTGCAGGCAGAGCATCGCCGTGCAGAGGCCAGCCCCAGTTCCCTACTGGGCAGTCTGGCAAGGGACAAGCTCTCAGAGAGTCCAGAAAAAAGAGAGTTCGTGGGGTGGAGGTGACTGTCGTGCCAGCTGTGGAGCTGGTCGCCCGCTCAGAGAGGTGCTGGCTGCGCCTGTCCCCACCCTGCTGCTTCCTCTCAGGGGATCAAGGGTGCCCAGTGGGGCCGTGCAGGATGACAACCCCTCGCTGCTCTCATGGTCTGCTTGGTTAATGTCCCCCAGGGCATCCCCAGCGCTGGAGCATGAGGCTGGATGGAGTTGGGCACTGCAGCCGGCCAGTCCTGCTCCAGCCTGTATATGAGCAGGAGACATTATCTCCTGTGTTGGTGCATGGGACTGCTCCCCATGGTGAGGTCTCATCTCCACCCATCCCTTTGTATCCGGGTGAGGTCTTCCTTGCACTACCCCCCCACTCGGTGGGAAGCGGAGCTGAGAGCTGCTGAGGCAGCGTTTCCCGACTGTGGCAATGGAGCTGGAGGCCTTTACCAACTGGAAAGAGTGCGAGGCCAGGCGTCAAGGGGCTGGCGGAGGGCCAGGGCCACTGCTCCTGGCCAGCCCCAGCTCCCAGCCCTGTGCGTGGGGAGCCTGGGAAAGGGAGGGCTCTGGTCCAGTGGGTCCTGCCAGCCGCATCTTGGCGGGGTGCCAGCCTGCCGAGGGCGACTCGCTCCACTGCCCCCGGCGCTCTGCCGTGCATCAGCTGAGGGGGCTCCGTGCTGGATTCAGGCTGTCCTGTTGCACAGGCCCATGGGGGTTCCTGCAGGAGAAGCTCCCAGCTCGCTCTGCCGCCTCTGTAAACAGGAAATCCACAAGTGGCTCCCGATCTCCTTTTCGGGAGAGAAGCAGCACAGGGCATTCCTCCCCCTTTACTCACTTTTCTGCAAACCCCAAATACCATCCCTGTGACGGCAATGCTGCCACAGCCACCCTACCCCGGGGAACGTGGCCTGTCTCTCCCCAGGGCGGGAGCCAGAGGTGCGAGGACCTGGTGGAGGGGCTGCATGTGCTAGGCTGGGGTTGCAAGGCTGGGAGAAGTCAGCATCGAATATGCACTACAAGACGGGGATAACCCTGTTGTCCCTATGGAAAGGCAAGGGGATGCATGCTCAGGCATCCCCTTCCAGTGAGCACTGGCTTGTTGCACAATGCCAAAGGGGTGTTCTGGACTGTAAATGCAGAAGTAACCACTGAAAATGCTTTTTAAAATACATATATATGTGTGTGTGTGTGTGACATGGAATGACTGAGGGGTTTCTGCTCCCCCAGGCTGAGGCTGAAGTGGCTTCCCTCAACCGCCGCATCCAGCTGGTAGAAGAGGAGCTGGATCGAGCCCAGGAGCGCCTGGCCACCGCCCTGCAGAAGCTGGAGGAGGCTGAGAAGGCAGCTGATGAGAGCGAGAGGTGTGACAGAGAGGGACAGTGAGGGTGGTCTCGAGTCACCCTTGATTGCAGGCAGCTCCCTTGGTTTTGCAGTGGGGTTTGGGGATCCCCCTGAAGTGATCTTATGGGATTTGCATTGGTTTTCCTGCAGACTCCAAAGGGAGAGAGCAAAGCCACAATGCAAAGAAGTCCTCCAGGCACAGGCATTCCTAAAAAGAATGAAATTTCTAGAGCATAAAACCCTGAGAAAATTTATCTGGTATTTATGAAAACACCAGGCTGTACCTGAACCCAGAGAAAGCTAGGAGCAGATTTTCTTCCCCAGAGCAGCCTCCTATGCTCAGGGTCTCAACAACAGTCCAGGAGGCAACATCTGTGCCTGGGAACTAAGTTCAGATTTGACAACAAAACAGCCTAATTCAAAAGCAGTGCTACAAAGCATGTGTTGCCCCATCCTCATGGCAAGCAGGTTTCCGGGACAGAAGCTCTGCAGGCAAGGGCACTCAGGTTGTATGGGAGTGCCTGGACATGTCACAGCCTTCCAGACAGTGACGTGAGCTCTTCCCTCCATTGGCAAAGACCACAGCATCTGAGTGAGAGGAGAAGAGTCTGCAGGAGTCCCTTCTGTGGGGGTTCACAGGGGTTTGTGAGCATCACCCAGAATGAGAAAGTCTTTGCCACAGGATGTTCTCTAGCATTTCCTAAAGGCTGCTGACCTGTCAGGCTGTTTTTGTGGGGGTTGTGGCTGGCTCATCTTCAGCTGCACACTTTGTCCCCCCTAAAGATGGGTTCAGGACCTGCCTGACTGAAGGCCACCACAGCCACATCTCCTCACTCTGGAGCATAGCCCTGGGGTCAGCTCCACTGTAATTGTGTACAGGAGCATTTTTAGGGTACTGCTAGTGTGACCCTACTGTGTGGGGTGGCCAGCAAGTGCCATCATCCCCAAGCAATGTCCCGTGTCTTTGGAGGATGGTGGGGTTAGGGTACAGTGGACTGGCAAGATGTGCAGATGCCATGGCAGTAACATCTTTTGGCTTGGTCTCCCCTCAGAGGCATGAAGGTCATCGAAAACAGGGCCATGAAGGATGAGGAGAAGATGGAGCTCCAGGAAATGCAGCTGAAGGAGGCAAAGCACATAGCGGAGGAGGCTGACCGCAAATATGAGGAGGTGCATACCCCCTTCCCCAGTCTTGACTCCCTGGCAACACCCAGAGCGACCTCCTCACAGCCCTGTGCCCCCAGCTGGGGCAAGCACAGGGCCAATATATGCCTCTTTCTCCCATCAACAGGTCGCCCGCAAGCTGGTGGTCCTTGAGGGAGAGCTGGAGCGCTCAGAGGAGAGGGCAGAGGTGGCTGAGAGGTGAGCAGGGCTCCCAGCAGGCAGTGTGCAGGGGTCCCACACAGCCTTTGCCCCAAATCCCTGGCAGCATGGGGATAGGGAAGACCCTCCTTGGGAGAGGTGGGGCCTGTCATTGGGGTGGTCCTTGGGGTCGCAGGCTGGGGGCAGGGGGCTGCCAACCCATCGACATCACATCCTTGACCCTGTTCTCTGCTGTCCCCCCACCCCGGGGTGCCCCTCTTTCACCCCAGCCGAATGAGACAGTTGGAAGAAGAGCTGCGGACCATGGACCAGTCTCTCAAATCCCTCATTGCCTCAGAGGAAGAGGTACTGGGGCAGGGGTGCGGGGCAATGTGCAGCAGCCCCCTTCTCTCTGTCGCTGTCTCTCGAACCATGCGAGCCACCTCTCTCTTCTGCACCACTGCCTCCACCACTGGCCTCTCCTCACCTCCCTCTCCAGCAGGTGCAGGCTGGGCACGCTCCTCCATCCCTCCATCCCTGCTTCCCTTGGCAGGGCCGGTGAGAGCCCGGCTGGTGGCAATGCACGAAGTGTCCGTGCAAGGAAGCACAAGGAACGGATGAACAGATGCGTCCCGGCAGCTCCCGCTCGCAGCGGCTCTGCTCCTTGTCCACTTGCACTGAGTCTTCTCCTCTCTCAACTTGTTTTCTCTCTTTCTTTCCTGCTACCCTGTGCCCGTTCTTTCTGCTCCCGCCTCTCTCCTGCCCTCTGGCCCTGCTCCCCCCCTCCTGCCGGCCCTGCTTGGGATGTAGTAAATGTGGTGACCTAGAGGAGGAGCTGAAAATTGTCACCAACAACTTGAAGTCCCTGGAGGCCCAGGCTGACAAGGTAGGACCCAGTGAGGCTGTTGGGGCTGGGCAGACTGCATGGGGTCTGGGGGTCCTGTGGTCTCCGGTTGGGGTGAAGGACAGCTGAAGGTTCCCCCTGGGGCTCACAGGTGCCTGTCTCTGTCTCTGCAGTACTCTACCAAGGAGGACAAGTATGAGGAGGAAATCAAGCTTCTAGGAGAAAAACTGAAGGAGGTAAGGAGTGTAGGGCTGCCACTGCATCAGTGCAGGTATGATTTTGCCATCCTGAGTGGATTTTGACTGTTATGCCAATGTCCTCTCACGGTTTCCCAAACTGCAGCCCTGCAGCATAGGAGGTGCCTGGGTCTGGGATGCCCCTCTCTAAGTCTGTTCTGGTTTGGAGTGTGAGGGTCCATGGGGCCCTTGACCTTTCTTGTTCATTGCTTTTACCAGGGGAGTGCCTGGGGAGAAGGGTACCAGAGATGCAAAGGGGGCAGATCTGGAGTGCAGTGCAGCCTGCACCGCCCCTGTTGTGCCCTGCAGCTCACCCTCTCCCCACTGTGCTTCCCACAGGCTGAGACCCGGGCAGAATTTGCAGAGAGGTCTGTGGCGAAGCTGGAGAAAACCATTGATGACCTAGAAGGTAAAATGTCCCCGCCTGCCCTGTGTTCCTCTTTCCCAGGGCGGTGCTTGGCCACACTGTGCCCTTGGTGGGGCTGGACAGGGTTTGGCCGAGGTGAGGGGGTGGGTAGGGGTTCAGGGAGGTGGGAGGCTGGATGCTGTGGTGTCTGGTGCAGGAGTGCAGAGCTGGGGTGTGGGCTCTGCCCTTGGGTGGGGAATGGGGTCACATCCATGCCGCCTGTGCCTGCATGCTCCTGCTGCCCTCAGCCCGCCGCTCACAGCCACTCTCTCTCTCCACCTTGTGCCCCTCACTGTGCTCCACCATCTGCCCCCTGCCTGCTCCCACCTGCAGATGAAGTGTATGCGCAGAAGATGAAGTACAAAGCCATCAGCGAGGAGCTGGACAATGCACTTAACGACATCACCTCCCTCTGAGCCCCCTGCTGGGCACCAGCACTGCGCGCCCTCCCCACCCGCCTCTCCCCTCCCCAGCTCGGCTGCTTGCCTGCCTGGCCATCCCACCTCCTCCCTACCCTCTCTGTCCTCCTCTGTCCTTCCTAGCCTGTGCCTGTCCGTCGGCTCCTTTGGGACAGGAGCCGGCCTGGGGTGTTCTCGCTTTACCCCTCTTTGGGGAGACAAGATGTAGGTGCTTAGAGCCATTGGGTCAGGGCAGGACAGCAGCTCCATGGCATCCACGTGCTGGCTGAATAGTGCCTGTGCAGTAGGTTATGTCATGGTATTGCCCGACAGGGATCAGGGCTGTGCCTGGAAGCCTTTTACTCCAGCACCTCCCTCTTTGGCTCCCCAGCAGCAGAAGCACTGGGGACCCTGCAGCTCCGGGGATGGGGGGCCCTCTCCCCCGCCCCCCCACATACTCCCAGCAAAGCCCCCCGGTGCTGCTTGCTGGCCCCAGGATGGGGATGACCTGCATTGGGGAAGCGGCACCTCCACTGCCAAAGCTCAGGCCTGGGGGATAGAGGGTTGGGCCCGACTGTGCAGACACCTCCTTCCTTGGCAGACAGGCAACCCCCCGCTCCTCCCTCACCCTGCCTTCTGTCCTTTGCACATTGCTCTTCAGTTTGCATCTCATGACTTTTCTTTAATGTTCTGTCCCTTTGGTTTAATGAGTTGGTTTCAATAAAGTTTCAACATTGGTTTCTCCTTTGTTTTCTTCATGCCACTCTATCCCTCATCTCCTGCCTGTCTCACATGGGTCCTGTCAGTGGCGTGGTAGGAGGTGGTTGCAGGCAGCTCGTGGGCCCCCTGGGGTAACCATGGCTGAGACCTGAGAGGCTCCTGCATTGCCAGGTTGAGCAGGACAGGGCCCTTTGTGCTGACCCCAGTCACCCTCTGGCTCTCATACACAGCTTTCCTCATCTCATACCATCTTCTCTATGACTCTTTTGACCTGAGATACAAGGGTTAGACCTGGTCCTGTCCATTCGCTGTCTCCACTTCCAGACATTTCCTGCAAGCAGCAATCTCAGCCCTGTCATGTGTCCTGCATCACTTTCCCTTGGTGAAAGAGCTCGTGCTACCCTTCAGCAGTGACCTCATGATCCCTAAATTTATCCTTGGTACCCCTCCTCTTTCCTCACCACCCTACCGTGCCCCAGAATCCAGTTCTCAAACTGATGGACCTACAGACCTGTCCCTGTGCCAGGACTGGTTTGCCTCCTCCTGCCAGTCCAGCTGGTCCCTGCTGCTGACTGGGCAGCTGTGGTGTTTCCACTGAGGGCTTTGGGAAATGCTGTCTCTTTTCACTAACTCACTTTTTTCTCTCTCTTTCCTGTGCTGCGTTGACGTCTCCATTTTCTCTAGAGCGCTCTCAGCAGGAGGCCGAGAAAAACCGTGTTCTCACTAACGAGCTGCGGGTCATCCTTACTGAACTTAACAACTGAGCTGCCCAGAGCTCCTGGCCCCGGCCCAGCCTCCCTGCCCTGTTTTGGCCAGGCTGGCTCAGGGCTGGGAGCCCCTACCTGCTCCCCACTGGTACGAGGCGAGGTGTGAAACCTTGGCTTATCCTCACAGGGGTAACTACCCTGCGTGGGGACGGACAGGGAACCCCTCCGGAGCCTGATCGGTTTTTTGTGAGAGAGGAATAAGGGGTTTTGTGATGTCCTGGGGTGACCACGTGGTGATGGCTGTCCTCTGGCATCAGCCTGGCTCTGCCAGGGAGGGAGGTGGTGGTTTGTGTCACTGCTTTCCTCCCCTTGTCCCAGGAGTCGGTGGGCAGCCTCTTCCTCCTCACTCTGGTCACCCTAAACTGTGCAGGGAGGATCCTCTCAGAAAAGGGTCCCTGCAGGGTGCCGGGATCACTGGGATAGGAGATGGGGACCCAGCAGCACCCACTGACCCAAACTTGGGGCAGAGGACAGGGAAGAGCCCAGCAGGGCGCACTGGGAGATGGGGCTGAGTAGGCAGGGCTCTTGTTCCATCCCTATCTCGGGGAAAGGATGATGCCATTTGGAAGTGAACACTGGAGGAGGCTGCTTTGGCAGCAGGCTGCCTGGCAGAGCTCATCCCTGTAGCCTTGTCAGCTCTGCTCCTTATCTCTCTGTTATCCTCTCTGCCTGCCCTCCCAGGCTGTTCCGGGGTTGTTGTCTCCTTTTCTTCACGGAGCACTGCTGGGTCACGCAGCAGGCACTGGCTCTCTGCTTTCGCTGGCAAAGGGTTTGTGCATGTGCCCACAGCCAGCCAGTGCTGATGCCTCGAGGGCTGGCCAAGTAACGGTCCTCACTGGCAGCAGCTGCACTGCGGAGGGCCCAGCCTGGGCAACGGGGCACCATGGGAAGATGGAAATGCTGAAGAGCAGTAACTGCCTGCCCCAGTGACCAGCCCTGACTGGCCTGGCTGCCCTGGCAGGTCCCAGAGTGGCTGGACTACTCCCTGCTGGAGATGGGGCGGTTTGTGTGGACTCTGCTCCACCGGGAATGCCCCATTCAGCTGGAGGCCATTGCTGTACTGAAATGTGTGTCTGTGTGCGTGTGTCTGTGCTTGGCGTGGTGTGTGTGGGTTCGGCTGCACCTGGGTACCCTTGGGTTGTGTCTGTGTGTGTGTGTGGCTGGGTGTCCCTTGCATTCACAGAGAGCCTGGCCAGTGCCAAAGAGGAGAACGTGGGCATCCACCAGGTCCTGGACCAGACCTTGTTGGAGCTGAACAACCTCTGAGCTGCCCTGGAGATCCCCCATCCCTCTTCCCTACCCAACACGTGCACCTCACTGGCATGCTCAGGACATCATCAGCTGAACTGCATCTTGGCCAAATCCACACATCTATTGAGAAGGGAAGCCCTGCAGCCTTACAACAGGGCTTCAGCGGCATCTTGTCTGTGCACAGCCTGACCGGCTCTGTCCTGTCTTCGTGTCCAAATATTAAAGCAGTTTGACAAGATGGATGGCTGTGTTTGGTCCTTGTGGGCGGGCACAGGCACGGACAGGTGAGGTGGGAGTCTCCCTGCCCATTTTGTGCAAGGAGGCTCTGCAGGGACCCAAGTCCGTGGCCAGCATTATGGGTGTTCTCTGTGGCTTTAGGGGGCTAAGAATGATAACATGGCTGTGTTTCCTCATTTCCATCACTTCCTTGGGATGCAGAGGAAACCTCTACGTCTCAAGCTCAGTCTAAGCTCACCATCCTCTTCAAGTACGGAGTGATAGATTATGTCACTGGCATATCCCCTTCCACAGTCTGCATGCTACTGCTTGGCACCTGGGGAAGGTCTTTGACCTCTCCATGGAGTCTGCTTCAGGGTTCATGTGTATGACACTGAGGAAACACACACACATGACCATGCATGCACGTTATTAGTTATTAGGGTCTTCTCCATGTCTGGGATTAACTGATCACCCTGTGTAGTAGTTGCATTTTCTATTACCATTGACTGAGGAATAGCTGTATAAGCTAGCAAACATCAATGCAGCAGACAACCATTTCTCAAAGTGTTCAGGAAGTTTCCTCCTGGCTTGCTGTATTTTCTCCAACACAAATTGAAGAGAAGCCAGATGTGCCTCATCACTGTCACCGAAACAGGCTGGATTTCCTGGGGATGCATAAAGTCATGATCTAGTCCTGCCCTTCATTTTGGGCCCCTCCATAATGTGCACTGAGCCCTGTTGTCCCACGGCACCCAGCGGATATCCCTCTAAAAGCACAGCCACATACTGACAGGAAACACAATTCATGCTGACCCCTTGTCGAGCCAGGCCATCGCCCCAGCGAGCGACCGGCAGGGATAGCTTTTGTTATCTGCTTTCCTTTATTTGCTGAGTCTCTCAGCTCAGGAAAGGAGGGTGGTGAGATTGCATCTCTTTCCTGCCCAGGTGCTGCTGGCCTCCTGCCCTCTCCCTGGCCCAGCAGTTTTGTTTTGTGGTTCCAAATCCTTCTCCCACAGATACTTACTGGGTACTCATTTTCTGTTTGTCCTCCCAAGTGTGTGTATCAGGGACTGTTGATATTTTTTGGTCTGTGTTTAGTCCAGCCACCTGCAAAAGTTTTGTTCTTTGTCTGCCAAGTTCACTGATAAACTGGAGCTTCGTCCTTGGAGGGACAGTTTCTTTTAATTGGTGTTCTGTGATTGCCTGGAGAGGATGAAGTAAAGCCCCCAAACCCAAATAGATAAGACCCCTTGAGTGAAACAGCACAAGTGTGAGGGGAAACCCAAAGTTCTCACGCATGTGCTGAGGGGGTACACTCACATAACGGGGGAGGGACCGAAGGCCTCTGGCTGGGCTGTGCTGCCACATTGGCCCAGGTAGACATCACTGGCTAATTGGATAAAAATGCAGGTGGCTCATGCTCAGGGCTCTCAAGTGTTGTGGTTTTGCTCTGGGTCAATTTGCTCTTAAACACCCCCCCCCACAATTACTGTAAGTTGAGAGAAGGTTTATGCAGACAAAAGAAACCTGATTGGGGAAAAATAATATTAACATTTATTACTAGCAAAATAAAACTAAAGAACTACATCTAAAATAATTCTATTTAGGTAAAAAGTATTATGTATTTACAGAAATACCTCTCCCCCCTTTTTTATTAGTCCAAGGAGGAGAAGCAGTCTCTTTCTCCATTCTCGGAGTTCCAGGTCTTTTCAATAACTCTGCAGCACTCTAAAGCTCTTCTTCTGTTATCTCAGGACGACAACTCCTTTTTGTCGCAGCTGGAACTCTTTTTCTTTCTCTCTCTTTTCTGTGTCGGACTCCAGGGTTGGGCCTACCCCGCTCCTGGGCTAAGACCGGAGGCTGGGGGTTACGCAGGCCCTGTAGGGTCTTCCATGGACTACAAGGGGACACTTGCCTACCATGGATCTTCACCACAGGGTCACAGGGAATAATGGCTTTTGAGTCCACCTCTGTTTCCTGTGAGGTCCCTCCCCATGGGAGAACAGTCCTTGATAGGCCTCTCTGATATAGGTCTATCATGGATCCCTCACTTGGATCCCAAGCTTACCCGAGCCGTTCTCGCTCTGGTGTAAGTCTCTTTCTCAGGGTCACAAATCATCAGCAGCAGCATGGATCCCACAAACAGATCCCAGTATCCCACCTGGGCTGTCTCGCTTAAGTTTCATACTTACGCTCGCTCAGCGTAAGTTTCCCTCAGGGTCACAAAATCTTCAACAGGTCCCTGCCTCACCTCAGGTCTCTCATAAAGTCTCGGCCTCCTCATGCATCAACTTATTCCAGTGTAGGCTCTTCCACAAGCAGCATGGGGGTCTCCTCACCCCAACAAACTTTCATAGGTGGCATGACTTTATTTTTTCAGTCTTTTCCCTGCTAAAGGGAGAGAGAGAGAGAGAGAGAGCAAGAGAGGGGGGAGAAGCAGGCCCCACTTCGAACTTCTCTCTCCTGCTGCAGCTTTGGTCTAGAACACTTTGTTATCTCTCTGCCAGAATTCTTGCTGCAGCATTCTTGTCCAGGCTCTTCTCTAAAGTTTTTTTTTTCTCTGCTCTGTTATAGGAGAAAAGGGGGGCTTCAGTGCCACACCTACCCCCGGCCCAGGGCTGGGGAGGAGGGGGCCTGGCCCCCACTTGGGGCCTGCCGCTGCTCCTACATGGCTACCTAATTTCAACTGCTACTAATTTCAACTGCACAACCACCTTCTCTTCCGTTTTTGTTAAATATGTCATTAGCAAAGGTATTACTGAAAGATTTGACTGGCTTTTTCTCTGGAAATTTATCTGGACAAAACCATCCTCAGCCCCAGGGGCTGGCTGGTGGGCAAAAACACGACATCAAGTTTCATATGAAGGACAACCTTGCCTTCTGTGGGGACATCCGGTTATCTCTGTGAGCCTCCAAGGATGCAGCCTCAGCTATGGGGAATTCTAGTTATCCTGGGGTCAGTAAGGCAACCTCGTAAAACACACCTGCGTGAGTGGGGGTTTCACTGAGGGCTTACTTTACTCCTCTCCTTTCCTGCCTCTCAGGTTCCCGTTTACTTGGCCACTTTTTGTAATAAATACTGGGCTTATTGCTGACCTCTCAGCAGTGTCTTGGTTTTCAATCTCGGCATCCTTTCGAGCTCACCTGTTACAGGGTGCAAGGCCTGTCGTGAGCTGCAGCCCCCCACCCTGGACCTGGACGAGCAGGAGTAGAGGGAGGACAGTACATGCCATCTTGGACTGCTGAGCTGTCCCTCTGCAAGGGCTGGAGCTCCTCCTTGGGTCTGCCTTGTTTTCTTGCAGTGCATCAGCTGAGCCATTCTGTTGTTTGGTCAAAGCACCTTCCAGACAGGGGATTGTCTGGCTCCGAAAAGAACCAGAGTGTAAAAGCACCTTTTCACTGGAAGCCTGCACCCTGCACTGCAAACATGCCTGCCCTGCACTCCAGTCAGGGTGCGTCCTGGTGCCCAGCCTCTGTCGCCTTCCTGCTGGGACAAAGAGCCTTTTCACACCCACTGTTTTTTCCCCATTAGCTGTTGCTGCCTCCTGGTTTGTACCAGTCCATCTGACTTAACCGTTTACACCCCTCTGCAAGGGTTTTTTCATTCCTTTGAACTGTCTGTGGTTTGGCAATAATATCCTGATACCTGTTCCCAAGTGATGCTCTGCCTGGGAAAGACATGAGGCATTTCATGGTTCAGCAAAGCTTTGCATTTCCTCCATTCCCCCACCCATCTTCTTCCCCACGTGGCCCTGCAGAGAGGTGAGGCGGCCAGGGAAAGCCCTGGGAGGGGCACTGTGGAGCAACTGGCATGGGAGCTTGACCTAGAGGCATGTCCCCCACGCGTCACAAGCCCACGCTGAGGGCCTAAGTGCCTGTCCCCTCCTCCCTTCCTCTCCCTGCCCTTCTCCCATTGAATTGCAACCTTTGGATTTGTTTCTCTTGGCCTGACAGACTGAAGATCTCCCCAAAGAGCTTTCAGCCCTGCCATGGGCTGCCACCCCACTGATAAACCACCCCATTAACCTCTGGCAGCCTTTCACCTCTGCCCTCTGCCCTGAGTTTTCTGGGCCTCTCTGGTGCCTTACTTCATCTCCAAATCCTTCCTGTTCGATACTCTTGAACTACACACTGGAGGGGGAGGACCACACAAAGAGAGATCTTGATGAGACATGTTGAGCTGTGCTGAGCCAGGCACAGACCACTGTCACCCCTCAGTCCCTCCCTGCATTTAAAGTTTGAGAGATGGGGGTGAGGGCCAGAAGAGCCACGTTGTCAAGCTGTGTGGGGTTTGTTGCAGGGCTCTGGGGGTTTTCAAAACAGGTCAAGCAGCCTGAAGCCAAGTGTCACACAAATCGCCCTGTCTCCAAATCGATATGACAGACTTGTCAACACCAGCAGAGGACAAGGGAAACCAAAACCATGTGGTGCTGTCTCATTTCCATATGAGTTATGAATGCCCCATGTGCAGTGCTCGGTACTGCACTACACAGCGGGGCTGTGCTGCCTGTGAGGGAGTGTGCAATGAAGGGGGATGTGTGGCCCTTGCTCCACATGCTCAGGGGGGTTGGGACCAGCACTGGAGCACCTCTGCAGCAAGACAAGCCTATGGCAGGGTGACAGGCAGCAAGGGATCCATGGGGAGCATTCGTTATATTGGTTTAGTAGTTGCTGGCCTCAATGTTGATTAATTGGCTTTCAGAGCAATAGAAAATAAATAAGAAGCGCTTGTTCTCAGGGTTCTGTAATGTGATGCCTTTCTTGCAGGATGTCTTCCCTATATTGATGCTTATTGTCCTTGCGGACTGGGCTAGATCACCATCTTGGTGAACTTCACAGGTGATTCCCTCTGGGCCAACTGGTCTGAATCTGACCTGTTTTGCAACGAAACTATTAAACCTTAGGCAAACTTGTGCCCCATTTCCTCCTGTGGGATGCCTTTTGCCAGGGCCTGACTTGGCCCTGCAAACCCCAGTGATCACGCCAAAAGCCAGCAGTGTCCCCGGAGCAAAGTTCCAGCCTGCAGCTTGCTGGCTGCAAGGGTCAGGGAATGGGCTGGAAGGGCAATGCCAGGGCCCTGGGGTTTCCCTGCTTAAGAAGAGCCCTCTGTGTGCCACACTGGAGGGCTCTGCTGCGGATTGTGTCTCCCAGGAGCAGGGCCCTATTCCATGAGCGGATGCCTGGAGACCCAGACCCCTCAGCAGCTTCGAGCCTGGCTGCAGGTGTGCCGAGACAGGCACGGGGACCGCGCTCCTGCAGAACTCGGCATCCAGTGCAATTGTACGGCGCCTTCTGGGCGCAGAGAGGGTGCGGTGTGGGTGTCCGTACGTGGGAGCAGCCCCGGGGTCCCTTTCTTTGACAGGTCTGGTTTGGGTTGGACGTAAAAGTGGAGGGAACACGGACTCTTCCCTGCGGAGCCCGTTCCAGTGCCGGGCCCCGCTCCCGCGAGTCACCTTTTCACATATCCCACATTCCCGCCCCCTTTTCCCCTATCCCACATTCCCGCCCCCTTTTCCCCTATCCCACATTCCCGCCCCCTTTTCCCCTATCCCACATTCCCGCCCCTTTTTCCCATATCCCACTTTCCCGCCCCTGCTCCGGTGACGTCACCGACCGGCCCCGCCCCGCCCACCGCGGTCGGGCCACGCCCCTCCCGGCGCGGCCCCGGTGGCCGCTTCCGCCGGCGGCGGCGCGCGCAGCCGTGACGTCAGTGGCCCCGGAAGGGCGGCGGAGGGGGAAGGGCCGCGGGGCCCGTCCGGAGCGAGCGCCCGTCCCGCCTGTCCCGGCCCCGCGTCCCGCCTGTCCCGCCGACATGACGCTCGCCGTCTTCTTCGGCTGCACCTTCATCGCCTTCGGGCCCGCCTTCGGCCTGTTCCTCTTCACCATCGCCCGCGATCCGCTCCGCATCATCATCCTCATCGCCGGGTCAGTCCCGTGGCGGGGGCGCTGGCGCTACTGTGGAGGGCTGGTGTGGGGCCACGATCGGTGCCGGGAGCGGTGTGGGGGTGACGGGGCGCAAGGACCAGTGCTGGTACCAGTGTGGGTGTGACAGAGGTACTGGTACCAGTATGGGTGTGACAGGGGCGCTGGTACCAGTATGGGTGTGACAGGGGCGCTGATACCAGTACGGGTGTGACAGGGATACTGGTACCAGTACGGGTGTGACAGGGATACTGGTACCAGTACGGGTGTGACAGGGGCGCTGGTACCAGTGTGGGTGTGACAGGGGTACTGGTACCAGTGTGGGTGTGACAGAGGTACTGGTACCAGTATGGGTGTGACAGGGGCACTGGTACCAGTATGGGTGTGACAGGGGTACTGGTACCAGTATGGGTGTGACACGGTGATGGTCCCAGTGCCTGTGCATGACCAGTATGGTCATGATGGGGCACTGTCACAATGCTGGTAACAATATGAGTGTGAGAGGGGCACTGGTACCACTGCTGGTAGTGGTACCAGTGTGGGTGTGATGGGGTGCTGGGACCAGTGCTGGTGCTGGTACCAGTATGGATGTGATGGGTGCTGATAGCATCAGAGGTGTGACAGGCATGTGACTGGTACTGGCTGAGGCACCCAGGCACCCTCATGGGACCAGTACCTGTGCTGGTGTGGCTTCAGTGGGGTCACCAGTACTCATAGTGGTGCTGTTCCTTGCATGGCAAACCATCATTGTTTCTCTTACTGTCACAGCCATTAGCACATCATGGACACCAGTACCTACCTTACCAGTGCCAGGGGAGGGTTGGGAGTGGTGCTGTTGTGTGTGTGCAGCTGGGGCACTGGCACCAATATCTCTGGGACCAATAGGGCATGGTACTGGTGCTGACGTGGATATGATCCTGGCACAGGTGCTGGTACTGCTTTGAGCACAACAGGGGCACTGGTGCCAGTTCTGGCAAGTGGTGAAAAAGGAGTGCAGGCACAGCACAGCATCGGGACCAGTACAGGCACCACCTGCCCTGCACTGGGACCAGAGCAGTGCTGGTGCTGGTGGGAGAGCGGGCCAGGCCAGGGCACAGCTGCCACAGGGGTGCAGGGTGGTCCTGATGGACCAGCCCCAGTGCCAGCAGGCTCTGTCTCTTGCAGGGCTTTCTTCTGGCTGGTGTCGCTGCTGCTCTCGTCCCTCATCTGGTTTATTGCGGTGAAAGCCAGCGACCCGCGGGACGAGCGGCTGCAGAAGGGGCTCCTGATATTTGGGGTGATGTTCTCTGTGCTGCTGCAGGAGGCCTTCCGCTTCCTTTACTACAAGCTCCTCAGGTAATGGCGTCCCCCCTGCTGTGCCAGTGCTGCTGCAGATAGTGGTCCCAGTTGTGGGGGCTGTCACGTTTCGTCTGGGAGCTCCTGGGCTGGGGGGGATGTCACGTGTGGCACTTGGGCTGGGGGGGATGTCACGTGTGGCACGAAGCCGCCTCGGTGCTCACTGGGAGCGCATGGGTGGCACCTGTTCTGGCGTGTTGGCCTCAGTGGGTCTCGGGTGGTGGAGCAGAGCAACTCTAAGGTCTGGAGGGCCTGCTGCCCAGCCCAGCCCAGCACACGGTCTCGGTGCAGCGTTAGCAGCTCCTGCCTCCATGGTGCCACTTGCTTGGAGCGCGGGGTTTGTGCTGCCGGGTGAGCGCACACTGCACCCTGTCCTATGTGTGGACAGACAGACAGACGCTGTTCTGGGGCTGTGCAGGCAGGCACAGGCAGGTGTAGTGCTACAGTTGGCATTCCCTCATAGCCCCCAGCTTTCCTCTGTGGAAGCTGGAGCAGGCCAGGGGAGCCAGGGCTGCAGACTTGCAGTGCTCCCTGTGGCAGGGCACTGTCGGAGGCGGGCAGGCAGAGGGTGGCAGAGCTCCACGGAGCAGCCTCTGACACAAACCAGCCTCTGACACAAACCACTGCATTTCGCTCGCCGATCCCCGGATCCAAGCTCTGCTGCCCTCTCCGGGCCGAGGAGCTGTCTGGTGTGCTCACCTGCCACACCTCTAGCTGATAAAAATTATGAAGCCTTTCCTCTCCCAGTTTCTCTCTCCAGAGAATTTTTCCAGCTCCTTCCTTGTTTGTCAACATCTTTCTTAGAGTATAAACGCAGAGATCAGGTACAGCCTCCCTCTCCTGCACTGGAGCTGCTTTCCATGCGGGGGTGCTGCTGCTTGCCTTACACCCCATGTCCTGCTCACCCCAGCCCTGCTCTGCTCGGCTGGCTGGCACCCGCATTCCTCCGCGGAAAATCTTTCTGTGTGGCTTCACGTGGTTTTCACATGTCTGGTTTGCCTGGTGGTACAAGTCACACGGGTGTTCTCCGTGGTGGGTGTTGCAGCTCGGAGTGGGGAGGTTACCAGGAGGATGACACAGTGCAGACTGAGTGCTGCACCATGCCTCAGGAGATGGCTGAGCTGTGCTGGGCTCCACTGTGCTCTCACCCCACAGGAAGGCCATCGAGGGGCTGGTGGCTCTCAGTGAGGACGGCTGCTCCCCCATTTCCATCCAGCAAATGGCATATGGTGAGTGCCGTGCAGAGCAGGGCACCCTGACCGCAGGGCTGGGCGTGGTGCTGGGAGCAAAGGGAGATTTCTCATGCCAGAGCTGGCTGGGAGGTGCCTGGGGTGGCCCCTGAGAGGCTCAGGGCTTGACAGTGTCCCTGTCCTGGCAGTGGCTGGCGTGGGCTTTGGTCTCATGAGCGGCGCCTTCTCCATGATCAACCTGCTGGCTGATGCGTTAGGGCCTGGCACTGTGGGCATCCATGGGGATTCGCAGCTGTACTTCCTGACCTCAGGTGAGTGACTAGCACCCTTTGCTCATGCTTCTGCCCCACTACAGAGGCAGCAGAGCCAGGGGGGATGGAATTTTCCCTCCATGCTGTCCTCTCCATGCTACACCCTCACCCACCTGAGCCCCTGTCACATCTCTCTGTGCCAAACCCTTCTTTCTGTCCCCTGTGACCCTCCCTGCTCTTCTCTCCCATCTCTCCCCAAGCGTGGGAGAGATTCTCCAGCTCCTCCCAGTCCCGCCCATCAGTGTCTCTACTTCCCCATCCCTTCCCCAAGCCTGCAGGCCAGGTCAGGGTGGGTGATTCCCTTATGACACCTCTCTGCTTCTCCCTGCAGCTTTTATGACCATGGTGCTGATTTTCCTTCACACCTTTTGGGGGATCCTCTTCTTCCATGGCTGTGAGCATCGGCGCTGGTGGGAGATCGCGGCGGTCGTTGTCATGCACCTCGCTGTTTCGGGGTCGGTGAGTAACTGGGAGCAGAGCTCTGCACCAGGACCTGTATTTGGGGTACTGGTCCCTGTCCTGGGGGGAAACAGTCTTTGGCACTAGCAAAGCAGCTGGCCCTTCACAAACCAAATCCTGGAGTTGGTGTCCCCTGTCCCACTCCACTCGTTGAGGTGGCGACACTGCCACACATCCTGTCCCTGTTCCTCTCCTGCCTGCTCACCCTTCGCTTCTCCTGCCTCTCTCCCCAGTCGTTTTGCAACCCCCTGTACGTGGGCAGCCTGGTGCCCTCCTACATTCTGATGGCTGCTGCCGCTGCCTGGGCTTACCTACTGTCGGGGGGATCTGCGCAGAACCTGCGGCGCTTCCTGCTCTGTAAGTCCTGCTCCGTAAAGGGGACACCGTGGGTCCTGCTGGGTACCAGGACTCATGCTGGGATGGCAAGAGGCTGTCCCTGTGGCTGGAACAAGGACATCAATCTCCTTGTCTTCCAGACAAAGAGGAGCAAATGGTTTTTGGTGCCAGCGGTCAGGTTGTTGCCTCTCCTGGGGGAGGTGGGGTAAAAGAGTTTGGTGAAAACTGACCCCTTCTCCTCTCGGTTCCTGCAGGTTTACGGAGTGGATCCAGCCCCCAGCCAGGATCCTGAGGCCCTGCAGGATGTTCCTGTCCCCAGCCACCCCTGCCCTCCCCTCTCCTATCCTGGTGGCAGGATTGGCCATCACCTTCTCTGCAATATCTTTTCTCCTGGACTCGGGGACCCTGGCCAGCCCCGGCGGGGCAGGTGCTGGGGTCCGGCTGTGGCAGCCAACCTACCAACCAACCAGTGTGGCTGGGACTCCAATGCCCCTTTGGGAGCCCCCATAGAACAGCTCAGTGTTGAGGGGCCTGACTCCACTGGCCCTGCCGTGAGCTCAGCCCCAGATAGCTTGCCTGTGAAGGATGCTACCTTGGACTGCTGGAGTCTTGAGCCCAAAGAAACCCATCGCTTCTCCCCCCGCCGTCACAGGCGTTGCCCCCACCGTGCAAGGGTGGGGTGCCCGCATTGCCTCCTCGCTGCAGGGTGGAGGAAGGGGCTTTGCAAAGTGCTGCTGTGCTCTGGCTCACAGCAGACCCTTGTGAGGCTCCTTTCTCCACCTCTTTGCCCAGTCTTGCTGCCACAGGAGCCACGGCCCAGGCGCTCACCTGCGGTAGCGCCGTGAGCTGTCACCTTGGTACAGCAGGATGGTGCTGGGAGACCCAGGGGTACTGAGAGCTTGCAGGGTGGGAGGAGAAAGAGGGAGAAGGCAGTATCCAAAGGGCGCAGTGGACACGGAGGGTGGCGGAGGGATTGGGAGGAGATGCAATGCCACAGCTGTTGCCGGCACAGATTTGGGAGAGGGTTCAAGGGACCATTCCAATGGATCATTGCCCTCTCCTGTTCTTGGGGATTTTCAGGCGGGTACCAGCCCTGATTCTGTGCCACAGGGCTGGGAGGGAGAAACTGCCATCGGGCTGAGAAGGCAGTTTTATCCATAGTGGGCTTTTATACCAATAAAATTAAGTACCACAGAGAAGTGGGTGCTGTGTGTGGCCATCGGCACTGCCCCTGTGGGGAGGGTACAGGCAGTGGTGGCAGTGTCTTGTGCTGGTGTGACTTGGGGAGCATGGTCTGGCAGTTGCTGGCCCCATTTGCCTGGAGGGCTTGCTCCTGCTCTGTTCATCCTAGCAGGGGTTAGGCTCTAGTTTTACAACTTTGAGGTGGAAGCTGCTGAGGGCTGGAGTCTACAGGTTCCTCTCCTCTCCTGAGTCTGGATAACTTCTCTTCGTTTTGCCCTGGCTGTAAAGCTCCCAGGGGTTTGGCTCCAGTTCCACTGGAGCCACCATGGAAGGTGGGAGGTAGCCCTGCATCTAGGGCTAATCTAGCTCTGATAGAGCTGTAAGTGATCTGGGTGGGGGCTGGCCAACAAGCAAGCGGTGGCTCTGCCACCTGCAGCTCTGCCTTTCTCCAGTCCTACCAAGCTGTAGCTATGTTTTTCCAATGCTTTGCACAAATAAGAGGAGGAAGAAGTCCCAGAGTGATGGAGGGCAGGGCTGGGCTGTACAAGAAGCCTTGTGCTGCTTACTCTGGAGCTCTGCCCAGTGTACAGGGGCTGATGCTGTCTCTGCTGGTTGGGAAGGGGTCCCTGCATACCCTTCTCCAATAGGGATCCAGCTGCACCAGGGTGCTCTTTTCTGCCCCACAGCTTCTCACAAGAACAGCAGAGAGGTGTGGTACCATGGGTGGCTTTTACTTTGTGGTTTTTTTTTTATTTTTTTTAATAGTTTTTACCTTTTTTATAACAAAAATATCTGTTGGGGTCAAATGCTGCCCCAGGCAAACAGTCTGTGTGGGCAGCCTGTGCAGCCAAGGGATGCTGGAGCACTGGCTCATCCTTGGCCCGGGGTGGGAGTGAGGGGAGGTGGGGTGGCAGCTGAACCGGTGGGGCTGGGACTACCACAGAGGAGTGGACTTTATGCAGTGTTCTCGGTGCTGGCTGCTGTGTAGATGACTTTGGATTTGGTTGGCGAGTCCAGCCTGGTGGGGGAAGAAAAAAGGGGAGAATGTTAGACCAGGCAGAAGGTCTTGCTGCCTGAGACCACCAGTCCTCTTCTCATGCCCTGGACCCAGGCCCCCTCCTGCATGTCCCCATGGCTCACCGTGCATTCTGGCTGCGGTGCTTGTAGATGTACAGCAGGAAGGCCAGTGCTGTGACAGCAAAGAGCACCCCGAAGAGCACGGCCAGCACGTCCCCTACAAGCCAAGCAGAGCTGTGTTACACTGGGGGTGGTCCCCTGCAGCTACTGGCTGAGTGAGACAAGGCAGGGAGCAGGCTGGGGGCCCAAAGGCAGAGAGGGCACAAAGGAGCAGTCTCGACTCAGCACGCTTACCTGCATGAAATGAGCTGGAATGTCCTTCTGCAAAGGAGACAAGACCAGAGGGTGAGAACCAGCGGCACAGATGTCTTGCAAACCCACTGTGGCTGTTTGCCCCCCCAGCACAGAACATGGCTTCCAGGATCCCAATTCCCAAGCAGGTACGCTCCCGTCCACCTTCTCCCTTGTACCAGCCCCTCACCTACCTGCTGTTGCTGCTGAACCGTCACTACCTGTAAAAGAGACAGCGAAGTCAGGAGGTGTTCCCCAGGTGTTCAGGGAGGGAAGTGTCAAGCCTGCAGGCCTTTGGGCCCCCCTGCCAAAGCAGGGCTGCCCGCAAGACTCCCCATCACCCATGAGCAGGCTGGGGAGAGCTGCCTGCAGCATCCCCAGCAGCTTGCAGCATCTTGCTGCAGGAATCCCAGCCCTGACACCCTGGCACAGAAGCATCAAGGGAAGGGTAGAAAAAAGGATCCCTGAACCACAGCCCACACAGAAGCCTCGATGAGCACAGCCAGAAACCTCGCCCCCCCATCGCTGTTGCCACCACCCAGGAAACACAGGCAGGGTGCTGAGCACTAGAGCACCCTGTGACTGTACCAAACCCCACAGAAGACCCTGGAGAGAGACATGGGGTGAGCCCACCAGGTGGTGACCATGGGGACAGTTGCCTGTGTCTGGATGGTCAGTGGCTCCTGGGAAGAGGCAGCCACCCATTCCAGGCAGGGCACCCGGCATGGGGATGGTATAGTGGCCCTACATGCTGGGAGGGAGCTGTACTGGGCAAATATTTACCCAGCTTAAGAGCACAGCTTTTAAAGAGCTGCACTATCATCTGTACACGACTTGGGTATAGCGTGCAGAGTGGCACTATCTGCAGGCTGTATCTAGCTGCGGGAGAGCCGCCACCTTCACCCAGTTCCCAGGGCCAGGAGTGGTTATCCTGAACTGGGAATGACAACAAGCGTGGGTACAGAAGGTGCAGCTGCAAGCAAAATGAGACTTGACCCCCCAGCACGCCACCTCAGCGCTCACTGGCCCCAGGGGTAAAGCAGGCAGTTAGCACGGATGTGGGGAGAAATCCCCAGCCATCCTGTGCACTCAAGGCAGGGGATCAGTGACCTCATCCAGGAGTACTGGGACATTGTCCTGGTAGTTCAGGAACAAGGGCTTTGTGACTTTGTTGTAATGGGGATTTTTGGACAGGAATAGCAAATAAGGAAAAGAAAAAATTAAAAGGTAGAGCTGGGCAACTCCCCCCTTGCCCCAGCGTGGGCAGATGGAGGCTTTGGAACAGATTCTGCAAGAAAGTGGTAAAAGAAAGGCTTGGAGGTAAATGGAAAATATGATAAAGTATCTAACAGGTTTACCAAAGATAGAGCATGCCAGCCTAACCCGATATCCTTCTTTGATAAGCGATATTCTAGACAAAGAAAATGCGGTAGATTTTATCTCTCCTGGCTTCAGTGAAGCATTTGATGCAGTGCCACATGGGAAACTGCTAGCCAGGCTGAAGACCACAGTGATTAAAAGCCTACAGCCATTAGCAAGCTGGCTGCAGGTGGAATGGTGAGGGAAGTGCCTTGCACTTGTGGTTACTGAGGCCTGGGACAAAGCCTGTGTGCTGTTCTTATTAGTCAGCTTGACACAAGGTGCAGGAAATGCCATCAAAACAGAAAAGAACAGGATGTCAAACAGAAAAACCCCTGTGACCTCAGGGAGTAACAACAGGCAAAAATTCATTGATGCAGTGCGATAGTCACACCTGAGCATTAACAGCCATTCCTACTCATTCCTGGAAACCACCAATGCCAGAAAAGCCCTCAAGGACAAACTGAGGACAGGCAGACAGGGCTGCCTCAGGCAGGGGACTGTGTTCCTGGTCAGGATGTCTGTGTGGCCCCACTGGCAGATTGTGACCTTCAGGAGGGGTGCCCAGCACTGCCCTTCCTGCACGGTTTGGATGAGGGGTCCTTGCTGCAAGTTTGTACCACTGGCAGCTCCTACTGAATTTATCTATTGCATTTGAGACTGAAGGAGCTAGCTGGGATGCTGGGACCTGGCTGTTTGCTCTTGAACATATATCCCCTGGTCCTCCTATTGTTATGTCTGCAAGACTAAGGATAAAATAAGTTCCTAGAAACAATCTTTCCCAGGTAGGGTGAAAGAAGTGCAGGAACTGGTGAGAGACACAAAGCACTGACTCCTGCTCCTGGCCCCATCTCTGCACCCCTGCAGCTGGGCATAGCCTGAGCACGCTCACACACTCCTTACCAGGAGTGTGCTTCTCTGATGGCAGGGTGGTCTGGAAACTCGCCAGCACCCGTCGCCCATGCAGGTCCTGCACTGGCCGGTAATTGTTCTGCAGGAGATCGCTGTCATCGGTCCTCAGGCTCCTCACCAGCACTAACATCTGGAAGGAGAACAGTGTGAGCAGAGCAGCATCCATCCCCACTTTGGGAGCCAGATGGGGTGCAGGGCACAGGCACAGATGGTGCACGCTTGCAGGGAGAGGCTGGGCAAGACCTAGTGTGCCTGACATTTGCAAGACCACCCATTGCCTGACAGACCTGGTCACGAGAGAGCTTCATGGTCTGGTTGAAGATTGTCCACTTCACCGTCTGGTAGCAGGGAGGGGTGGTCAGAGAGCCGTTGTAGTGGAAGTAGAGTTTCAGGTTGTCAGGCAGCAGACCTGCAATGTTGAATCCGGGCACCAAGACTTGCTGCCCTGGGAGAAGAAACACCATGGGAGTGTCCTGCAATCCCTTGGTGGACAACAGCATGGAGATCATGGGCAGCCTGGCACTGTGTGTGCCACCACAGCCACTGGAGAAAGAGCAGTGAGTTTGCCCTGCAGGCATGTGGGAACAGAGGGCACCTTGGAGCGCTGCTTCCATAGGAGTGGTGCAATGCTCCCCTTCTCACGTACACATGGAAAACACCTGCTGCAGCCTCCCTCTGCCAGGCAGTGGGTTTCTCTGCAGAGTGGCAGCCCCTGAGACAAGCACTACATGGGGCAGGGCCTTACCTACTCCTTCGATTTCGTACAGATGCTCAAGTATCTCCTGATAGTACGGGTTCTCACTTGGCCCAACCTGCAACACAGAGACCCCACAGTTATGGCAAGGACAGGGGCTGAAGGGAGACCACCCAGTGATGGCAGTGCCAGCAATGAGGTATCACTCCCTGGGAAATGCACTCTATCCCCACAACCCCTTCTTTCTATCAGCACTGCTTGCCCTCTCTCTCCCCTTCTTCCAAGATGCATTTTTGACAGTCCCCAAAACTGTGCCCAGCTCTGCCCACCCCAGCCCTACCCCTAAGAGACTCACCTCCAGAAAGGCTCCCAGTACAGCCAGGCCGTCTGGGCGAACCATTGCCTCGTTAAAGCTGTCATACTTGGTGTTGTAGTGGACCACATGGATCTGGAAGGGAAAACATGCAATCCCAATGCAGCATGGGCACTGATGGGAGATGCTCACCGTCACAGGGCTCCAGCCTTCTGAAGCAAGGGCTGGGAGAGACATGCACATGTGAGAAGCACCCCTCCTGGGAAGGGAAAATGCTGGTGAGACCAAGAAAATGTGATGCTGCAAAGCAGCCAGCACAAAGGTCTGCCTGCAGGAACTTCCCCAGCCAGGTACAGCAATGTCCTGCATAC